TACAATGATGTTTTAAGTGTAAAAAATCAAAAATAAAAGTAGTTGCCATCTCACGGATAGGGAGACCTAGTAGTAGTAGCGTTAAAAGCAGTGAAGGCGAGAATCCAAAGAATCCCATGCTTTATAGCTGTTTACCCTGGAGGTAGTCTACAGCAGAAACAGGGTGAAATTAAAACCAGACATCGTTCAGATGTGCGTTCAAAAGACCTGAGATTTTAAAAAATCCCACATTTTGTTTAAAAAGTTACTTGAAAATGAAATACAAAATGATAAGGTATGGTAAATGATAAGTCTTTATCAATGAAGAAGCAGAAGTTCAATTTCATATGTCCTCCATCTAGGCTAGTTTCCGTCGTCACTCAAGGTTTGACTGCATGTCTCAAATTTGGGCTTAATTGAGGTATTTTTTGGGTGAAGGCATAAGAACTAATGCCGTTTTATACCAAAAATTCATACTTAGAGGTACCTACTCAACCAGGTACAAAGTATTTCCTTGTATGTTAGTCTGCCAAGTCCCGAAATCCCCGCTTCGGCTCCCCTACTAACTATTCTAACCATTGTACACAGATAATATCTTGCATGCTGCTTTTCATGTTACTACGTCACACTTTCAAAATCCGTGCGGAAAATCTCTCCGAGCGGAAGAGCGCACTTTGAGCTTGAATATTTCAGTCATTTTTAAAGGTATCAAAAAAGTAAAAATACAGTATTCATTCTAATTTTTTGCAGTTTTTTTTTTGCATCTTCAACAAAAATTGTGCGCCATGTCCATTGCATCAGTAAACGCCCACAGTGAAGCGCTAATGTCGCTTGCGATAACAAGTGCGGTCGCTTGCGACAAAATGCATGTGTCGCTTACGTTAAGTTTTAGAAAAAATGTGTATTCACGATAATTTTAGCACTTGCTATAACTTTGTAACGGTTTTTTTTTGGCGGGAAACACCAACAGGGATGGGTTCGTTACGGTTTGAAATACTAGTTTCGATAAAAAACGGTTTTTTGACAAAAGTGTCGCTTACGATAATTTGGCGGTAAAGGCTCGATAATATTAGTAGAATAACTAGTTAGCCCTTTTTACGATCGGTGCAAGCTTATAAAACTAATCCCTTATTTTTTTACCCATCCCATGACCTGCGCCAAAGACCCAAGGCACTCAGAAATCTGCCATATTTCATTCTAAACAATAACCATTGAAATTGAAATTACTATTATGTAGATAAGCATCTCAGATTACAGGTCAAATGTAAGTAGGTTGCTTGTTACAGCTGTAACTAGTTTAAATTGATCTAAAGTAGGTCAGTTCTGTAGAATTTGTTGAAATTCATGCAACTGTGGAATTAATAAACTTAATTGTTCTAATAGTTTCTTTAAACCATTAGTATTATGAGGCACTTAAAACTTCTATGAAGTACAGAATGAACAAGCTGTATTTGAAAGAAAGAAAGAAAGAAAAAGTATTTAGTACTGCTTCACTAGTACTGACTTAGAATTAAAATCAATTAGCCAATGGTTAGGTAGCAGGAAGGCGCTGCACGCACGCTACCAACCGGGCAATATGGAAAGCATTGGGGGAGGCTTATGTCAGAGTAAATACAAATTAAATGAGTAGGTCATCTTCATAGAAACGCACGGGCGCGGTTTGTATGTGAGCGCGCCAACACGTATGCGGCGCGCACGCACACACTGACAAAATTTAGCGTGGATTAGCAGGGAGCCAGTCGTGGTTGCGCCGAATTTTGTCAGTGTGTGCGTGCGTGCCGCATACGTATATTGGCGGCGCCAATTTGGCGCGCTCACATACAAACCGCGCTCGGTGCGTTTCTATGAAGATGACCCACTCATTTGTATTTACTCTGCCTATGTTCAGCAGTGGACGTCCTATGGCTGAGATGATGATGAGCCAATGGTTGTTCAGGCAACATGAAAAGCATTGGGTGATGCCTATGTTCAGCAGTGGATGTCCTATGGCGAGATGATGATGAGTTAATGGTTGTCCGGGCAACATAGAAAGCATCGCAAGAGCCCTATGTTCAGCAGTGGACGTCCTATGGCTGAGCTATGTTCAGCAGTGGACGTCCTATGGCTGAGATGATGATGAGTCAATAGTTGTCCAGGCAACATGAAAAGCATTGGGTGATGCCTATGTTCAGCAGTGGATGTCCTATGGCGAGATGATGATGAGTCAATAGTTGTCCGGGCAACATGAAAAGCATCGGAAGACACTTATTTTCAGCAGTGGACGTCCTGTGGCTGAGATGATGATGAGCCAATGGTTGTCCAGGCAACATGGAAAGCATCGGAAAAGGCCTATGTTCAGCAGTGGACGTCCTATGGCTGAGCTATGTTCAGCAGTGGACGTCCTATGGCTGAGCTATGTTCAACAGTGGACGTCCTATGGCTGAGCTATGTTCAGCAGTGGACGTCCTATGGCTGAGCTATGTTCAGCAGTGGACGTCCTATGGCTGAGCTATGTTCAGCAGTGGACGTCCTACGGCTGAGATGATGATGTGCCAATGATTGTCATGTGTTGTTGTACCACCCTTAGGTGCGCATGATCTGCGAGCGGATGCTGCGCGAGCAAGAGGCGGCGCTGCGCGCGGAGTACGAGTCGGCGCTCAGCTCCAAGCTCGCCGAGCAGTACGAGGCCTTCGTGCGCTTCAACTTGGACCAGGTGAGCACTGAGCATAGTCCTCAGTCCACGGCATTGGTTCCCAAACTTATTTGAGACGCGCGTACAAAAAATACCGCGCCGCCCCCCCTCCTCCAGTCAAGATTATTTATTTTATTGTTGTTAATAGTGACTGAGTTTCTTGCGCTGCTTCTTCTCAGCACTGGCCCATTTATTATATGAAGCCACGATAGCCGAACGGTGAAGGGGTCGGACTGGCCGACTCGTGATCCGGGGAACGCGGGTTCGGTCCCCGCCGCCGCTCGACTATTGTGGTGAGCTCACTCGTGACACAAGCATATTTAGCTTAGTACGAGGGGCTAACGGGAATATTAGTAATTTGTGTAATAACAAATGACTAATAATCTTTTTAAAAAAAAAAAATGTCCTAAAGCAGTGGTAGGGTTAATACTGGGACGTGTAAAAGTGCTTTTTTTAAGCCTATTTACAGAAATAAATGAGTTTTAATTGGTCGTATCGTATTGAGCAGTCTGGAATGCATTCTCTCAGCGGTCGCAGGTTTTTCATACTTAAGTACACAGATGGCCCGCGTCCCCCTTTAAAGGTCTTCCCACTTTGGGAACCAAACTCTACGGGCACGAAACTGAAAAACCGAGCTATGGCGGGGTGACTCGACGGCGAAGCGGCGGCGATGCATACAACAACATGGACAACCCACCACCACCCATGGCCATACCAACCTTGCGGTTATACTGGCCGAATCGCGGGAGGTGTGCGCGGAATTGTGGCTACCTAAGGCAGATTGCACTCCACCGCGCCACACTTCTTGACTCCCTCAAGTTATTTTTCTTCGTCCTTGTCCCTATAGTTCAGTTCTCCCCCTTCTGGGGCCTGACGTTCACTCCACAACAACATGGACAGTATAAAATATGGTGACGCGCTCGAAACGGGCGGCGGCGGAGCAGGGCGATCACAATACTATACTACTCATCGCCGTCGCGTCTTCAGGGACCAGTTTTGTGCCTGAAGACTCAGCGGTGCCAGGTGTCCTGTTATCCGCGGGACTTGATGTTTGCAGAGACTGGACACATCCCTATTTTCCCACGAAAGAAAATGTTTTTCAGTAATTTCTTTTTTAGCCATTTGTAGCTGTGCGAACCCGCTTTTTTATTTTCTTTAAATAAAAACAACTTTTAGGCAACTCTTTAAAAAAAAAACTCGGACCCGTTTTTGCTGCGTTCTCTGCGAAAGTTAAAACTGTTGGCACACAAACCGTTGTGATTTCACGTTATTTTTCGACTGATAGAGAACGCCCTCATACTCTGTGACTGACACCACAATCTTCCGCCAATATTGTGGATGATTGCCCGCAGTAAAGTAAAGAAACATTTAAGTAAACAACAAGATCTACCGTCAACTTTTTCCAAAAATATTTCTAAATAAATTAAGAAGTAAAAGTCTTTCAGCCCATTCAGTGCTGGCAGGTACACCGCAAAAAACAGCGTCCTAGCTTTTGAGGAAAATCTGCATTCGACTGACGCGACAAAAAACTGCACCGTGAATTGTTTTTCTTACGATGTACAAGCTTTCTATTCCCGATTTTAGCTTACGTCACGTGCGTGTAAATTTGGGTGATGACAGATGTCGCCAAGTCGTTAGTCACCCCGAGAGGCGTGCCTCGGAGCCCGTTACGCCATCGCGGCTCTTTCGGGTCGGATTAGACAAGGATATACGAAAATAGATTTACCGCAAAAGTTTTTTTAATTACCTCTTGTATTAAGATACAAAATACGCTATCTAGGGTTTAAATACACATTGATGTTTGCTTGCATTAATTGATTGTATTGGGAGCTAGCAAGTATAATTTTATAAGAACTGCTGAAGTAGTCATTCGTTTCCCACCCACCTGAAGCAGTCATGTGTTTTACATGTCAAATATTTACAAGAGGATCCATCCACCCAGATAACCAACTAACCTCTCGGATATCGGCAAATCCGGAGAACCGTGCAAAGATGTGCATCAGCCTTTAGAAGTGCATCCCACCACCTTCCCATGGTCATCCAACTTTACGTTTATACCTAACCAAATCAGGGGGCAGTGCAATATATCCAAGACAGCCTCAACGCGCACTTCTCGCCTTCATAAAGTAGTATGGCAGTTCGCGTCGCCATAGAGACGAGAGATCGAGACGGTAGAGACGCTTACGTTTCTTTCCTTGGGTCTCGTACGTTTGTCTAACTCCCGCACCGATGATGAAAACTCCGTGATGTTAAACCGAGGCAAGAGGCCCTTCAATTACTTGACTTGGGTCTCCCGGACTGCCGGATAATCGCGACACATTCCCACTCGGGCGATGACGGAACTCCGCGGAGGTTTTAGTGGGTTATACCCCGTCCTTTTCAGGACGGAGCAGTGCCCTTTTCAGGGCGCCGGGAGTCCCACACCACCCTGTCCCCCGGCAGTGGTGAGTGGTGACGGTTCCCAAAGCATTTCCTCCGCGACAAAAAAAGGGAGCTCCCTCATGTTATGTTTGTCTCGCTCCCGCACTGATACCTTTCAATTGCCTGAAGGCACCTCTATAGTCTGGTCTGTGAGCACGTAGAATTTTGTCCAATGACCCCAAGCTACCCATACTTATCGCTCGCGCGTAATTATGTTGCTGTCGCGCTCGCACACTCACTGCGGGCGCCCGTCGCACAGTCGCGACAGCAATGTAATTACGCGCGAGCGATAAGGATGGGTAGCTTGGGGTCATTGGACTAAATTCCACGTGCTCACAGACCGGGCTTTAGTCGCCTAAACATGTATCTGATGTGAGCTGTCGCTTGCAGGTGCAGCGCCGGCCTCCGCCCGCGACCTGCATGCCGCTGGGCATGGACGCCGAGCACCACATGCACCAGGACCTGGTACCCAGCTGTGAGTATACTCGCCTTCCTTCACCCGAGTTGTTTGCTCCTCACCGCGGGACACATAAGGGAGCCATGACTACTTTAGATCCTTTGAAAGAAGAATAGTTTATTTGGTTCAAACAAACGTTATACCAGGCCTGTTCATCTCCGCAAGTTTACATCAAAAACAAAACACGCACGATGGCCCACCTACAGGATACTATTCGACAAGGCCTCACATACGAGCGAACATTGACTCACGCACGCGTATTCTTGTGTATGATGGAAAAAAATAAAGAAAATGGTGTACTAAATACTGTGCAGTATTTAACTGCCTAAATAATAATAAAAACACAGAATGTACTTTTTTAAGTTGCCTCAAGACACTGAGAGGTAAATAAGTAGTTAATATTATTCATGATAATTCATGCTAAATCATGTATTTCCTCCGCCATTTTCTGCAGATTGGCACCTCACGTCACATCATTTTACCGAAGTCAGCCCTATAGCTTCGGCGCAGTACCGATCACTGACGTTTGTCAACAAAACTTCTGACAAACTTGCTTGACTCTTGAGACAAGCTAAATTACACCATATTGTTAATGACATTGAGCATACATTTTTTTAAATACCTTCGCGAAGTAAAACTTCTGTACGTAGTACTTATTATTATTCTGTGGTTATACACAATTTAAATAACATACAACATGCTTCAATCTTCATCAATTCATCATCATCTCAGCCATGGGACGTCCACTGCTGAACATAGGCCTCCCCCAATGCTTTCCATGTTGCCCGGTTGGTAGCGGCCTGCGTCCAGCGCCTTCCCGCGGCCTCCACTCCAGAACCTTGCTGCCCCACCGGCCGTTAGTTCTGCTTACAATGTGCCCTGCCCATTGCCACTTCAGCTTGCTAATCCGTCGGGCTATGTCAGCGACTTTAGTTCGTTTACGGATCTCCTAATTTGTGATTCGATCATTTCAATTCATTATCATAAAACATTTTGGCTGTGCCAATTTCAAATAGTGTATAAAATAGTGTGTTTGTGAGTGAAACACAGTCTGTGCTTACAGACAGACAACTGAGACAGTAATAGAGTCCCATTACCTTTTCGAAGGATTTCCTCTCTAACTGATAAAAACATGAGACTGCATATTAATAAATAAATAAATAATATTTTCTTATTTTTTGTTTCAGATCTGTCCTAATAATAGTATAGGAGTGGGGCTGTGCGGTATAATACTGCAAATATATCAAGACAAACATATTTTGGTATATGTGAATATTATATGCGGGAATAGAGTATCCTATACAATCAAGAACTTGTGATTGCTAGTGGAATTTATCTATCGTCGATATTGTTACAAATATTATTATCTAGTTCCATTTGACTCACAATAATATTATTGACAGTATTATGAACTAAAACTAGACCACGTTTGTGCCTACTAATTACTATGATTATGAATGCATTATACAAATTTATATTGTAACCTTAAGACAATATCGACCTAGATAAATTCCGCTGTTTTGTTCATGCCACATAAACATAATTAGCTTTTAATGCTTTAGGTAAGGTTCGCTGGATAATTGTGTTCATAGACTGAGGATCGACATAGCTGAGGAAACCGCGATGGCTGAAACATGTCGCGGCTTCGTTTTGGCCATATTTCGTATAAACGGGTTTGTTAACAAATGTATACACAACAGACGTGAAGCCAAGTGTTTACTGTATTTTGTATATTTTCTAAAGATTACGAAAGAACCTGTAGTAACTTAGATTCTAAACACAAATCACACAGAGTGCCTGTTAAGAAATCAATGTCCTCAAATGGTTTTTGCTAATTAGCCATAATTTTGATTGATATGATTATATTTAATTTTACTTTTTTAGTTCTGTCGAATTATAGTTGTAGTTGTTAATTTATATTCTTGTCAAAAAGTGCAAGCGCAGTTCTATGGCAAGACAGCCTCGGGTATCAGACAGTTCGGACTAGCGACTATAGTGTTCACAGTAACGGTAACGAAATTATATTCCAATAAAATGCAGCCTTAATATTCAAAATTTACTCACTGATACATCCATGGCTTATTAGAAAATTATTACATTAGCTTTATTTAAATTTTTAAGTTATTCATCTCAATAAGGTATGTATGAGTCGGTAAACGTGCCGAGTCGCACGCGGCGGCGTGATGCGACCCGGCGCGGCCTACTAACGCACTTCGCGTGCATTATTGAGAATTGTTTTATATTCTTGTTAGTTGTAACTTTTTATTGAATACGAAAGGATATAATTTGTTACCAAGCATTATTCAATAAAAAACATAGGATAGGTTTTTTTTAAATTGTATTATCAGCTCATTATTAGTAGGTTATTGGCGTTTAAGAACTGAAAATAAATTAGCTAAACACCTATAAATTGTTTTTCTTTACACATATGTTATATATTGAACAACCTTGCTATTTATTTCCTCTACAGATTTTTTTTATAGTGAGGCTTTCCTCACTATAAAATAGTCATGTTTTTAATATTAACGAAACACTATGTTAATAATGTTACACTATTAACAACCATTTTACAGCTCAATAATGGCTGAACAGATTTCAATGAAATATTACATAGGTAGCTGATACACCCTAGATCTAGAGTGTGAAAATAATAAGTTAATCAAGGGCCTTATTTTACCCGAAAAAGGAGTAAATGAGAGGATGGAGAACTTAGAACTTAATGTCTTAGGATTAAGACCACCTGTATTCATGCTCAATTCTATTCCCGTTGTCTTCACTGGCCGGAGCCCTGGAGGAGTGGCGTAAGTGGCGTGGTAAATTGTATTTATTTATTTAAATTCCCATTGTGTCCCGTTCCAGTGGAAACAACGGGAATAAACCGTCCTATGGGCTCCGCCTCAAACTGTTAACGCGATGGAAAAAAAAAGATGAGTGATGACAGTGACAGCTGACAGTTTCACGCCTGATTTTTGGTGTTTGCCATGAAGCTGCAGATAAAAATGGAGGGCGGAGTTGGAACAAAAACTTGAGTCAAATACCTACTTATATCTATCTCGCTCTCTGCGGCCCTACCTCTCTTTTTAGTGTGAACTGTAGTATTGCTATCTTCTGATTTAAATCTCCTTGTAAATTCTTCGAAATAGCCAATTCACTAACCAAATCAGAAGTTAAACAAATAAATAATTAATATTTGAAACTAAGATTACCTAGTTAAATATAAAATCACAAAATTGTCGGCCATTTAGGCTTAATGTGTTGGCGAATCAGGGAATTACAATCCCAATTCCTGGGTAATCGGTACCATGTGGCAACATCGGCCCAATCCGGCCCATTATGGCGGTTGTTTACTATTTTGTTTATTAAGCAGTTAATTTCGTTTGAGATTGTTTACAGGAAATAATCATTGTTTTATCACAAGAATTGGTGAAAAATTTTGTAGTGCGTGGTTGCGGTAGTACGTGGTGTCCTGGAAGGCTGGAAGTGACATAAGATTCCACGCGTAAGTGTTTATTTCGTGATTTCCGACATTGGATCATTGTAAACATTTTTCACATTTTTTACAGTAATTTCTTCCTAAAACGTTTTACCAGTAATTACACTTATCATTTTTAATGATACCTATGTCAAGAAATAAAGATTTTACATTGGTTTCATTGAATTTGAGCAATTTTATATTTTTTGTTTATTTAGAAAGAGCGAGTCTGCCCACAGAGAGCGAGATAGTGATACTTAATTTGTGCTTCAAGTAGGTATTCGGAGTGTGGCCTCCATTTTTATCTGTAGCTTCATGTTCGGAGTATGGCCTCCATTTTTATCTGTAGCTTCATGATTTTGTCTATGGTGATGGTTTATTTATTTTCTTTTTGTTGGTAGTACTGCTGTCAACTAAGTTTCAATGTCGTTTGATGTCGTTCTGTCTGTTTTCTTGCCTGTGTCATTGATTCCTTCTAAATATTTTTATTTCTATTTAAATTGATTTATTCAACTGGGGAAATGAGCCTCAATAATTCATCTCAAAATGATACCAATAAAGAGTACACTACTATTAATATTTACGACAAGGAAGACCGAAGAATATCCAGAACAGATATGAATATGTTAATAATGAACTACTTGGTAACAGGTATGTACACCATTAATTAAAAATCCAAAGAATGCTACTGCCTAACTAGCTTAGGCACTTTTCAAATAATTATTAAGATCAGGTTAAGGAAATCCCATGTATTCATTTAAGCTATGTAACATAAGAGTGCTCCAAACAAAGGATTTTTTTCTTGTGACCAGAATGCCATCTGAATCTGATCTCACTTTGATTTTTTAGCAATATGATTCAGCAGATACATTGAACTTTTTCTATAATTGTCAGGTTTAAAATAGAACTACAAACACTTGTTATGTGTCTAATCCATTTTTACACTACTCTATTTTATTTATTGAATTGTCACTGTCCGTAGAGGGTTTCAAAGAGGCAGCCCTGAAGTTCCAGCAAGAGGCTGGTTTGCAAGAGCCCGCCCTCTGCAGCTCCCTCGACGAGCGCATCATGATTCGGGAGGCGGTGCAGGGCGGCCGCATACCCGAAGCCATTGCAATGGTCAACGCACTTCATCCTGAGTTATTGGACAACGATAGATATTTGTATTTCCATTTGCAGGTATGCTAAAAACATTTCATATTCATTTTATTTTCAAAAAGTTGTAATGAATGTTCTAACCATTATTTTGTATTCTATACAGCAATTGCAGCTTTTAGAACTGATTCGGGCTGGAAGAGCAGAGGAAGCACTGGCGTTTGCTAGTGCCACGCTAGCAGAAGCCGGTGCTAATGACAGCAACGCCCTGACAGAACTCGAGCGTTCACTTGCACTACTCGCCTTTCCGGATCCTCACGCTTCGCCGTTTGCTGACTTGTTACTGCCATCCCATAGTCAAAAGGTATCATTTTGTCTGTAACATAGGCGGTTAACACGCGCGGACGCGTTGTCAGTGTGAAGTGCCGCGCGTGTTTTCTATACAAACTGAGGTACTTGCATACAATGATTAAATCTGTCGTCCCGCCGCGGCGGAGCGCGGCGCAGTGTGATAACCGCCTTAATCATGACCATGACAAGTTTCACAGAAAATAATTATCTTTTAATCAGAAACTTTTCAGATACCCTCATAATATCTTTGATTGCAGATTGCCAGCGAATTAAATGCAGCAATACTGAAGATGGAAAACCAAGAATACACTAATCCCAAGCTGTGCAGCCTCCTAAGAATGATCCTGTGGTCCCAAAGTGAACTCGACAAGCATAACATCAAGTACCCCAAAATGACTGATCTCGCAAACGCAACTATAGAACAGCCTAAATGATTTAGGGGATAGCTGACAGTCGATACTGTTAATGGTGTTCTTAATGATCAACTGGTTTAGTTTTCAAACATTCTCTCTCTACACTACATGTTGCAAGAAATTATTTTCATTCACTTATGAACATGTGATGAAATATTGCATAACAGCCATTGATGATATGACAAATTATATCTTTCAGATTGTTATGTTGACCTTTGAAATTCCATGTAAGTATTTTACCAATCAAAAGAACACCATTAATCTGTTTTCTGAGATACATTATTATGATAAGAATTTCTGATAATTTTGTCAATGGTATTTTTTGTTGCACCTCAAGTGGAAGTTTAAAGCAATAAATCCAGGTAAATAAATTCCACTTGGGGAATGATAACTGAATTTTTATATACAGTAATAAAAACCTGGAGAAATACGGTCTCCTTCACAAAAACTATTTGCTCTCTTGCTGCAATAGATAAATACCATGTGATTGTCAGGACTGTGAGAAAAGTTAGGATTAATTAAAATAAACGTTTTATGCTGATAAATATGTATGTTTTTAATTAAGTATTAAAAGATTCAGTACATCCACAAGTTTCTAGTTATATTTTTACTGAAACAACAGTTTATTATAAAGTGTTCATCATGTAGATACAAGTTTCATTTTAATCAGCAAATGAAATAATCTCTGTACCTATAGTTAAGAATTTTATATTGTATGTAATATTTAGAAATAAAAGTTACTAGAAATAAAATTATTTGTGTGATTTAATTGTCGCTTTCACAATCCTATTAACTAATTTAAGTTCAATGAATGCTATGATATTTCTTTTTGTTGAATTTGGGAAACATTGTATACAGCTTCGAGTCACTTTTTCTTGATTTACTAGTTATTTCATTGTATGGTATTTGTCACCAGCCCAGTACATAGTCCAGGGCCTTGGAGATGATGCCCGTAGAGCGTTGGGGCACTGGCGCGGACGGGATCGGCGTCGGGCACAGCGACCGCGCGCCAGACATTGGCCTGAAACAATTTTAGTAGAAAATATATTTTGTTTATTGATAAACAAGCATTACTTAGGCTCTACCTGGGAAAACATGTTAATAGTCTAAAATGTTTGTCCACATAGTTTATACACTGTATTGTTTTCCTTGTAATATAAATAACACTTATTCAACATCTCTTCCAAATCTCTCACAATTTTCGGTAACTTTATCAATAACATTCAGATCATAGTTATCAATAAAGATTACCTTAGTAGGCTATTTAGGTTTATCCTAGCTTTATTCTTTACACAGAGTGACAATACTTTTAGGGAGGGTGTTATTTCTTCAAATGAATGATGGTGCATATTGTTAATAATACCTTTCAGGTGATGCTAACCCAGGACTGGCCACGCTCATCCGTGGCACCTCCCGGCACTCCATCACTCCCACCATGATCCCGGGCAGCACCTGTCTGCCACTAAGGGTCATTGCCCTCTCCTTCTCTGCTCGGGTCGCATATCTGACGTGTGCCCAGTTCCCTTGGGTGGGGTATTGTTTGTCTGTATAAAAATAAACAGATATTTGTATAGAAAAGAAGCATTTACATACACTTATTTTTTCAAAAATGTAACTCATTATGATTAATTCAAAATATTGTTATTGATCTTACCAAGAATTGCTCCACAATTGCTGAACCTAGCTAAAACAGTGTTTGCTGCATTTGGAGGGAAACCAAAAATGGTGACCCAATATTCATCCTGTTCCTGGCACCCATCTTGCCACGCATTTGCTAGGGACTGATTCACAGATGCATTCATGTTATTTACATAGGAGTTCTGCATCATTGAATTGTTATTGCCATATCCTAGAAAGCTGTGGTCTTGGTATGCAGATTTGTTAGGCTCATTACTCTTTATAGTGTCAAATAAGTCTTCTATAGGAGGACCATTAGGCTTGCTTGAATATGAGATATTGGGTGATGTAGGCATGTTAGAATAAGCATTTTGTTGGTTGAAAATAGCCTGCTGGTGCATCGTGAAGTTCTGTCTATACATTTTTTGCTCTGGAGTCGATGTCTGAGTCGGGCTGGTCGGAGATCCTAGAAACAAGTTTAATTTAAGAGGTTGTTCTAAATGTAATACTTAATTAGCATTTCATTTTTTTTGTGTTTTAGTGAATTTCCAGCTTACCAAAAGCAAGACTGCGTCCTTTTGTGGGCGATAAACTATTTGTTCGAGGAGTTGTTGGTGGATTTATTTCACCCAAAAGGAAAGGCGGTAAATATCCCACGTTTGGGCTTCCTGATGGGGAATGTGGTGGGCTGCCCAGCGTCATAGGCTCCATTTTATACAATTAACTATTTAAAACCTAAATAACTATTAATCTAAGATCAGCACTGCTGGTTAAATTGTTTTTATGATTTTTAAAACAAAGTACGTTGAATTAAAAATTTGCAAGCAGCTGACAGCAGTGACAGCTTGACTTTCTACTTTTTAATTTGATTGAAAAGTAACATGTCATGGCTTTGAGTAATGAATTTTAAGTTTTAGCCTCCCTTTATTGACAAAAATGAGCTATGCTATAAGTCGTGCCGTTGATGGCAAGCATTATACCATAGAGCAGCAGAGTTGACATTTGTTGTCTGTGATGTTATTTTCTTGCAGTTGTCTACCTTGAATAATTTATTTGTCAAAATAAATTTCAGTCAAACAAACGAACATGGATTCTGCTGATGAACTTGAAAAATTTAATTCTTTTGATAAAAATGGGTGTGAAAAATCGAATACCAACAGTCTCAAAACTAGTCTACCCAGTAACACGAATATTGTGCACAAATTATTCAATAGGGAGGTAAGCCTTATTGATTTAATTTAGATTATTTTTCTGTATACAAGAGAGCATCTTAGATTTGTTTCTCGATCGCCTGAATAGGTAATGAATTATGTTTGGAATGTACTATATTTTATGTATATTTTAAAATGAATCTACAATTATTTCATTTAAAATACAGATGTCGAGTGAACCTCGTAGCTCGTAATGTTGGATAGTAATGTAAAAAAATATATTGTAGAATGTTACCTTCTCCCTGTTGTGAGATGCAAAAATCCCTCTATGGTTTAAAATTATTTAAAATAATAAATCTAAGAAATTATTCCATACTCAATAATTGATTGGATTTCAATTCAATCACAATCTAAATAAAAGCTGGTCTTAAAAATTTTTAATTTTTTCTGACCTTAAAAGTGCATGTTTAAATAAATACTACTTTTGCCAATTTGTCTGTAAGTCATTGAGATACAGTTTTGTCTTGATTTATAAGATAACATTGTCACTGTCATTATAATTTCCACTTTAAGGTATTTGGGTGCACATCAAGAAAACGACATGAGCAGAGCCGCAAACTGTTTGATCGAATACCGCCCCGGCTTCGATTCTGCCTCATGGACATCGTGCCAATGTCATACCTGCAGGAGCACATCTTCATGGGCTTCTCCCAGTGTGGGCAGTTCCTACTAAGCTTTACGTACAGTTGCAATACACAAGTTTATTTTAGGGAGAGTTCAAAGTTTACGTAAGTATTTTGTTTGCTATTTATAAAAATGTTATTTTTATTAAATCATTAACCTATTTAGTACCAGCAAAACAAGACGTAAAGTTTATTGTATTCAAGGTCTTATGCAACCATGAACCCTCATGGTCAAATAAATATTTGTTTTGATTGAAAATCCAAGTAGAAGTATAGTTGCATTATGACAATGCTATATGTTTGTCATTTCATACTGTTCTTGGAACAGCCTGGCAAGCTGCTTCATAGAGTATGTAGTGCATTAGTATGAGACAAAGAACCTTACATTATAACACTTAAGGAACATGCACACTTTGTGCATGCCACATGGCAATGTCAGTAAACCATGCAAACTGGTGGGCTGATGTAACTATAGTCTTTTTCACCTAAGATGATCCGTATGACGTTTCGAGTTTGAAAGATTTAGAGATGTCACATAACTAAACCATAGCAATTTATCTATCGATTTTTTTCGAAGAATTAGTAAAACCTACTTTTAGAGAAATATTTTGTAAAGGTGTTATTTAACAAAAAACATGTTTTTTTAATTACAAATATTATTGTAACAATTTTTCATTGATAATATTCAAATTTAATGGTTCGTGTTCAAAAAAACGATTCCTAAAAAGTACTGGTTCTGTTTCTTTAAATTAAAAACTATTAATTTATTTTCAATGCGTTTATTGACTTTACAATAATCGAAAAATATAGTTGATTTTTGTGATGTTTTTAATAACTAAGTATTCACTGCAATCGATTAATGAACCGCGGAAATAATCGATTTTATTATACAAGAAATACCCCAGCACTAAATCTATTCCGTTTCACACATTGCGTACATTAAATAAAAAATATTTTTACATCGTATTTAATTAAAATATAATCAATAGACTCAGATTTTACTACATATTTCAAGACAAGTAGTTAATTTTTTTTATTATATTGCTAATAAAATACAAATATTTTTTCAAAAATATTCTGCATATGTATTATGCGTAATATGGATAACCTTGAAGTGTCATACGGATCATCTTACGTGAAAAAGACTATAATTAGTAATTACTATTGATAATGCTAGGCGAATTATTTTTTATTATCATTTTATTTAATGTAGTTATTATTTGTATCAACAATCAATTAATCACAATCATTTATGTATCAATTACATCATTAAATTTTATTATTATGTTCTGTCTACAATACTCAGTTCAATTAAAACAAATCAGTGTACACTGTTTATTTGTAGGTTGCATTTTATGCTATGGGTGCCGGGTCGGATAGTGAAGCCGGTTCACAGTGCACCTTTGTTTGGTGATGACGTCGATAGCAAAGTTACAATTTCCATGGCTCAGTGGAAGCACAACCCTGGTGTTATCGTGGTATATGGTATTGCGTAAGTATTAATTTTTTTTTCATTTCCAAACCTATTTAGAGTTACAAGTTTTGTGAATGTAATTGTGTTATTTTATTGTTGCAGAGACTCATGCTCAGAACGATCCTACCTCAGCGTTATTGGAGTACCTCATTTAGGTTGTAAAAAATGTGCTGCCTACTCTAGAGATGAAGGTGAGATAGTCAAAAGTTCATATCAGTACATTTAAAACATTTGTGGTTCAAAACTTAATGCATTCTCAAATTGTTTTTCAGACGATCTGAACTGGGGCAAGCGGTGCCTGGAACACAACTTCGCCATCCACACAAAGTTCTTCTGCACGTCAGACTCGAGCATGTACGAGCCTGTCGTACAGCTCGCCTACTCCAACCAGATCATCATCTACACGGACTTCATCCACATCCTGGAGGTCGACTTCGTGCGGCCCGACCACGAGCGAAACGACGCGATGGACGATAGCAAGTTTTCTTTAGACCGGGAGGAGACGAATTCGATAGACACGAATCCGGGGACGCCGTTTTCGGAAGCCTCGGCGCCGTTTCAGTCGCCGAAGTATCAGAGTAATGTGGTAGCGAATATTCTCGCGGATTTTTCGGAGTTGGAGGGCGAGGCGCCGGTTATGGGCGCTCGGGTGACGTTGGACGCGGGCGAGTTACTATTGGGGCCATTGCCGGCGCTGCTGGAAGAGTGGGAAGGACCGGCGCCGGCAATTCGCACGCTTATCTCGCCGCCGCTGCGTAGTCCGCGCCGGCGCCCGCCCGAGGGCATGTCGCGCTTCAGCGAGGCGCACCGCGTCAGCGCCGAGAAGGCCTACGAGTTCGTCGAGGAAGCCGACACCAAGTGCGAGAAGCTCAGCATGTTCCGCAAACGTCGCCTCGCCGACAAAAAATACGAGTTCTCTGAAGACAACAACGAAAACATAGTTCCTTACAGAGTTTTGAGGAGCAACAGGAAATATTTTATAGGGTCGACGAGCAAACCGCAGCCGCGGCGCCCTAAATCGCCGGTGGAGTGCGTGGTCTTACGGGCTCACAACCAGATCAGCCGGCCTCCGTCGCCGACTACCAGTTGTCAACCGAAGCCGTCGGGGCTGGCGGCGTTGGAGTCTGACCGCAACAGCGAATCAGAGTACCGAGTCATGGAGATGCTCGATGACGGCTCCTTGAAGACGGTGTCAGTACACGATAATACTTCTAAGACGCTATCTGATTGCCCCGTGAGCGCGCAGGACCCATATTTAGTGCACTCGGAAAACTCCAAATGCAGCAAATTCTTCACGAGATACTTCGTTGAGAGCGACGACGAAATCACCTCGATTATCACTGACTCAGAAGGTATATTAAACCAACCAATATGCTTATGCATTTTCAATTATGTAATTGCTAACTTTCCATAGTACACTGGTCATCACAAAAATCGACCCTCCCGCGACAAGCACTTTCAAATGTATGCATCCCCACTGCCCACTAGTTCCCACCAATATTGGCACCATTTAAAAGCCTAGTTCTAAACTTCATTTAATTAAAGGAAAGGTTTTTACCCCAAAAATGTGTATGTAGAAGAATCCAGAGTCACTTCTTCAAAAAATAGGTAGTTACGCTTGAGCCAACTTCTATGGCTATAAAACTGTTAAGTTAGGATAAATCGCTATCCATCTGTTAAAGAGGACACGTGAGATCATTATTTGGTTTTGTAACCATAAAAATTTGTCTAATTGATCCCAGAGGTGAGCCCAAAGTGAGGTCTTTTTTCAAGTCACATTTATTGTATATCGCGTTTATGTTAATCGTTTATTAATAAATTAAATGTGTTTTTCTTTAAGGATATTTATTGGGCTTTCAAATAACACCAATATTGTTGGGGCACCATGATTGTGTCAGTAGAAACTAGTTTTCCTGTAAAACTTAGGTGGGCCGATTTTTGTGATGACCAGTATAGTTTGAACACTGATAACTCCAGAAAATTCAATAGTTTACCCAGCTTATTTTCCATCTGAAAGCTTCAAAAAATTGATCTGACCCATTATTCTTCAATTCCAGATGACTGCATATCGGGTTACCACGTGGCGCTTCACCTCACAGCGCACGGCGCGGGCTACGCCCCTCTTCAGGCCGTCGGCGCGGGCGCTTGGGAACGCATCTGCTCCAATTCTGGAGCCCTACCGCCGCTTACAATTAGGGCACAACAAAGGTCGTTGGACACGGAGTTACTGTGCAACGAAGTCTGCGGGCGACTGTGCAAAATAAACGGGAAGAAGTTTATCTACTGCTTCGACTGGGGCTGCCATGTTATAGATGTGTGCCAGTCGAGCGGGTGTCTGTCTGGGGTATGTTTTGATTTTTTTTAACTTAATATTATTGATACAATGAACTTTAGTGATATATTTTTTTAAATAGTATTTTAAAAAATATGTCACTAAATTGCTTTGCGCTCTGTATAGCGCAGCATAATTGTAAACATACTTTTAGTAATTTTGTATGGTATATCGCATTAGCACACAGCGCCGCGTCTCTCAAATGCGTCTCAATATTTAGAGTGCCGCTACAGTGAGGTTCTCTATTTTGTAAACGATGTGCAGCGCAGTGTCGTGCCACTCAATCTTTGCCTAGGCGCAGACCACCGCATTTTTGTTGGCCGATAGTTAGGTCGGGCTGTTGATCAGTACGGAGATGTATGAAAGTGCGCATATTACATCGATTTGGTATTGGTCGATTCTTCATACAAATTAGATTTTTTTTAAATTTATTTATTTATTTAATGAGCAACATAATAAGCTTACAGAAAACCCAAAGCGCTTATATGTTTAGTCACCACATCGGTTACAATAAAATTATAAGTCATATAATAGAATTGGCCCAACTATCGGCCAACTAAAAATCGGTGGTCTGCGCCTAGGCTTTAGATAACACATTATTTGAATAAGACAGTGAGTTCATTTTTGAATGTTTTCAGCTGTGCGCGATGTGGTTATGGGCAAGTTCAGAGGGAGCGGACGCGGGCGAGTGCGCCGCCTGCACCGACGCCAGCGCCGGCTGCCTGGCGCACCGCCGCCAGTACGCCGCCGAGGTCAGTCCCATCTGGTCTATGATGCCATAGACGTGGCTGTGTCAGTCACGTACTATCGGCAACAGTGTTAACTGCCCATTGCCAGTCATTTCATCTCGTTCATCGCAAAGAATCACCATTTGATTAGAGCGAGAGCAAAAACGGAAATGGATAGTTAGTTAACAGTGTAGCCGTGTGTACAGTCAGCTTGAAATACACTAAACATTAAATAAATCGCACCTTCCACGACGCGAACTTTAAAGAATTTCTTTTGACACAATCATGGTGCCCCAACAATATTGGTGTTATTTGAAAGCCCAATAAATATCCTTAACTAAAAACACATTTAATTTCTTAATAAATGATAAATGTGACTTGAAAAAAGACCTCATTTTGGGCTCACCGACGGGATCAATGAGGGCTATCGTTTTAGCGCTCACCAGTTAGCGCCACTGTAAAGTAAGGCCCTGTCACTTGCTAGTAGCGAAGACAGTGGCGCCAACTGGTGAGCGCGAAAGTGGTAGGAGGACTATCGCATTTGCACTCATCAAGATGGCGCCACTGTAGAGTAAGGTCCTGTCAATCGCCAGGGGTGCCAACTGTTAGTATAAAAACGATAGCCCTCATTGGAATAAGGTGTCATCAACTTTTTTTTGGAGACTGAATCTCACGAACTATAGTCTTTTTCACGTAAGATGATCCGTATGACACTTCAAGGTTATCCATATTACGCATACTACATATGCAGAATATTTTTGAAAAAATATTTGTATTTTATTAGCAATATAATAAAAAAAAACTAACTACTTGTCTTGAAATATATAGCAAAATCTGAGTCTATTGATTATATTTTAATTAAATACGATGTAAAAATATTTTTTATTTAATGTACGCAATGTGTGAAACGGAATATATTTAGTGCTGGGGTATTTCTTGTATAATAAAATCGATTATTTCCGCGGTTCATTAATCGATTGCAGTGAATACTTAGTTATTAAAAACATCACAAAAATCAACTATATTTTTCGATTATTGACTTTAATAAACGCATTGAATATAAATTAATAGTTTTTAATTTAAAGAAACAGTACCAGTACTTTTTAAGAATCGTTTTTTTTAACACGAACCATGAAATTTGAATATTATCAATAAAAAATTGTTACAATAATATTTGTAATTAAAAAAAAACATGTTTTTTGTTAAATAACACCTATACAAAATATTTCTCTAAAAGTAGGTTTTACTAACTCTTCGAAAAATATCGATAGATAAATCGCTATGGTTTAGTTAAGTGACATCTCTAAATTTTTCAAACTCGAAACGTCATACGGATCATCTTAAGTGAAAAAGACTATAGTTGACGCTGGTACGCACCATATATTGAATATTACCAAACACCACAGAACGGTTAGGACTCCCCCACACTAGCGTCTTTCGAACTTCGTCGTCTCGCCGGCGCGTCCGCAACGTTGAAGCGGTAACGCAGCGTCGCAAACATAATAAAAAGAAATAGCAAGCGTGGCCTACGCCTTTCTTTTGACACGGTTGAGGGTAGGCCAATTTCACCCAACCCACTGTTATACGCCTTCCAGGAAGAACGTTAGCCGAAATCACCTGAATTGTGGAGTGACACCACCGTGACAGCAATAATCCCTACTTACTTAAAATAATATAATGCAATACTTGGACATTTAATGCAGCTCATCTATTATGATTTGCAGTCCACACAATCTAAACGAGTTTTCCTTTCTAGTGTCTATTCGTGTGGGACCTCGTCAGCGGAGTTTACAGGACTGAAAGAGTGGCCATGACGGAGGACGCGAGTCAAGAAGGTTCCAGAGGTAAGAAATAATAGATAGAATGTTTAATTATTATTGATATTAGTTGCGTTAATTAAGGTTTCATTTAGGTTCTATCTAGGTATGTACTTCAACTTACTAATCCGTAGCGTAGGACGTCCAACCACAAGGTGGACCGACGACCTCATAAAAGGAGCAGGAAGGCGCCGGATACAGGCCGCTACCAACCGATCATTATGGAAATCATTGGGGGAGGCCTATGTTCAGCAGTGGACGTCCTATGATTGAAATAATGATGACGATGTTGAGTTCTGATTCGATCACGCAGGGAAACTCCGAGCATAGCCCGCTCCATCGCCCTTTGGGTGACCATGAGCCTTCTGAGGCCCATAGTAAGCGACCACGTCTCAGATCCGTATACCATCACTGGCAACACGCATTGGTCAAATACTTTTGACTTGAGACACTGCGGTATTTCGGACGTGAGTCACTGGCTTCACGTCTGTACGCAGTGTGCGAGCGTTGAAGGTTGCCAGGGCCAGAGGTCGTCGGTGTTGGTAGCTTGGCATCCCCCGGGGATTCTTGGCACCCCTTGCCCCACCGTTACCGTGAAACCTTGGGGGAGGCCTTTGTCCAGCAGTGGACGTCATTTGGCTGAAACGAACGAACGATGTTGAGTCGCATTTTTAGGTGTGATTTGGGTTCTAATTTGTATTATGTCTAACAGTTTCAGGAGCAGACCGCGCCCGAGAGCTGGCGAAGAAGCTGGGACCTCTCAACGTGCCGCCAGGACACGAGAACCGGCTGCTCACCACACTCACAGGTATATCTACCATCTTGCCTTTCAATTTTACCCTTGCCTTGTCACTTTTACCCTTGCCTTGTCACTTCCTATTCCTACCCTTGCCTTGTCACTTACTATTCCTACACAAGTCAACAGGTTTCCTCTCAATTTATTCATACCTCCTTTGACTTGTTTTTAGATTTAATTTGGAGGGCAGATCCTCACATGTATATGACAACGCCTATGACTTCACTTCATGTTACTGTGTTTTTTGGAAAAGATAAAATATTTCGTAGAAATACAAGCTCATGAATGCTGACCTTATTACTAAGCAGTAAATTTGAACGGTTTCATTGTACATATAATTTCTTTTATTTTCAGGAAAATCGTTAAAAAGACTGACCGATGTGGACAACTGCATCGAAATCACAAAGAACCACCCCGACAGCTCGGACGAGTCTTCGGAGGAGGAAGACAGCGACTATGACTGAACCTAGCAAGCCGCCTCCAATTCAGATACTCACGACTACTGCTCTCCCGGTGTACTGGGTAACTCCACAAAACGATTTTGAAGCATTTCCTATTTCACTCACACTCATTTCATAAGGTTAGTGCGATAGATACAAATAATGTATATCGAAATCCTTTTGGGGAGTAGAGACCTTTTCCGAGAGCTGCAGTAAGATTACATTACTTTATTTTTGAGTTGTTCTTCCTATATTTTTTATTATCTCAAACGCAGCTTTATTTTTTAATGTAATGGCTGTACGTACAAAAAGGCAATCGATTTTAATTCAAAGTGAGATTTAACTCAGATCTGCCATTATTATTATAATTACAATTAAAGCCGAAAGGTATTATTATGAACATTGTAAATATATTTCGAAAATTCGTAGTTGCCGCAACGTTAGTCGGCTATGTATAAATTGTTATCGCGATACGTACCTACATTATAAGGTGGTTTGAATGATATTACTACAAAGGCTAACTAAAAACAGTATTCTCAGAAAATGAAATTTAGGTTCTGGCATACTGTCTGGTACTGAAGATAAGGTATCCACTATTCATATCTTTTGGTGCTTATTTAATACATACCTAGATCTTCCTTTTTATGTAATTTCCCACATAATAATCAGATTGATTTAACTCGTTTAGTATGAATTACTTTTGATGTGACAAAGTGCCGACATTTTCAGACTAAAGCAATATGAAACTGTATTTTTATTAAAACAGATCGTCAACATATTTTATTACGATTGAATTTATCGACATACTAGTTTCAAGGAAACTCGGACAATGTATTAATATTGTGTAGTAGTGTAGAGTTCGTTAATGTATTATAGGATACAACTTTATTTGTAACTTTATAAGTTACATAAATCCTCACTATACGTATCTGATGGATTAATTGTAAGCTTCCGACCTTTTAGTTGTTTGTTAGAGTAACATTACTTTAGTTATTGCCCATTATTTTGTTTTTACTTTCCACTATCAGTAATTGATGAGTTTCATCCGGATGTACATATTTGAAACTAATTGTTATTTAAAAAAAACTTGTAAGCATTGTTATTTTCAAATTCACTTTATGTAACTATTATTTAGCATCTGTCTTAGAACATCATCTCTATCACACAATTAAACAGGGCCGGATCGTGAATTTGTGGGGCCCTGGGCTGAAACTACTTGGGGGCCTATCTTAGTACCTACTCAACTAATAGCCATGCCAAAAAACTGTTTCTATAATGATATATGTATTAATCTTATACATATATTTTTATTGCACAAAAAACATAAATATTACTTAAATCTACGCAAGTATTACTTGTACAAAAGGCGACCTTATTGCTGTGTAGCAATCTCTTCCAGGTAACCTTTGGGTGAGAGAAAAACCGAAATAGAGATGTACATTGTATAAAAGAAAATAAAAAACAACAAAATAATTTTATTTCTTTATTATGCATTTATCAGTAAAATAAATTATAATTTATAAATTAACCTTTCTACATTTTTGTGCTGCAAATTCTTTTATTTGGTCATTGCATTGCAAGTCTTTTGTTAAATCACAATTTATAGACAGAAGTGATAAATGCTTTAGTCGAGAGTTCGCCATTGTTGTCCTATACAGTGTGAGTCACGTTAAAGTGTACATATGAAAATAGATGAAACCAGACTTATTTTTAGCGACAAAAAAGAGGTCAAAATTTTTTGTGATTTTTTAAAGAATTTTGTAAAGAAAACGTAATATCTTTTAAACTAAGCGGTATATCCTGATAAAATAAAAACAATGTTAATGCTAAATAATAGACGATACTAAAAAAATACATAAAATACTCAGAAAATGCTAACAAACAATAAAAAATTATACTTATTGAAAAAAATCTGCTTTTAAATTCGTGTTTTTTTTGGTTATTTGATAAATTTCTCCAAAAAATGACACAACAGGTGGTTTTTATTACTTTGTATTATTATCTATCGCATTACCTTTGTAAAACCAAAAATCGCATGTCTCTATCCCTATCACAACATTTGCTATGATAGGTTGAACAAAGGCCTACCACAACATTATTCTCCGCTAATGTAGGGACAATTTTAATTTTAACTTAAATGCTTATTTTACTTCGAAATCTTTTGTTTTTATTTGAAATCTAACTATCAATTATTAATAAACTAAATATAAATTATAAAAATTACAAATCTAGAGCAATTTTCAGTTCCGTTGTTAACGAAGCGTTAGCTTAGTTCAAACGATCATTGCAAACGTTGTGACAGGGATGGAGACATGCGATTTTTGGTTTTACGAAGGTAACACGATAGAGAATAATACAAAGTAATAAAAACTACCTGTTATAGGGGGATTTTTTGGAGAAATTTATCAAATAACCAAAAAAACACGAATTTAGAAGCAGATTTTTTTCAAAAATTATCATTTTTTATCATTTGTTGGCATTTTCTATGTATTTTATGTATTTTTTTTTGTATCGCCTGTTATTTAGCATTATTACTGTTTTTATTACCTGTTAGTTTAAAAGTAATTACGTTTTCTTTACAATAAGTAATTGGAAGAAAAAAAATTCTATATAAATTACCTATTTTCATACATGATCATAAAAATGTCACTGCAAGAGTTGTAAGACTGGCTTAGATTATAGTAAGTATGATTTTAATTGAATGCACTCATTCACTAAATGCTCGTCTACGTCATCTGGATAGTAATCAATAATATGACGTGCACTTTCCAAATCTATGTTTTTGATATTTTTGTCTTGCAAATCCATTAAAAATTTAAATTTTTTGCTACATACCTATCTCATAGACTTGTCTTCTTTTATTTAAGTCCCTTTTAAATCTTTCTGCGCCTAGATAAAAATACAGGGAAATCCCCGTTCCGTTCCATAGACGCGCACATACATTGGTTCATTGATCTCAGGGTTGCCATTATTAACTTTAAAAAAATTAATGAAAAACAGCATGAAAACAACCTTTTACACGTATTTCCCCCCTCAACTACATTCATTCATAAAAGTATGCAATTTTTAATCAATATTTTCTTATGACGTTGTCACGTAAAAATATCGTCCGTAAACCGATTTTACATACAACTATTTTCTTTTTTTTTTTTCAAATTATGGCCTACTTTTTAGCGGGATCTGGGGGCCCCTTGTAACCCCGGGGCCCTGGGCTGCAGCCCAATCAGCCCATAGGTAGATCCGGCCCTGCAATTAAAGCTAGTTCTTCAGATAGATATTATATACTACTATGTATGTATACTATATACAAGTATATTATCCCCCATTTATCATAATACCTAACAATATTTTTACTGTGTTAAGCTAAACGTAAACAACAATTTAGGCTCATACGAGGTTGTGAATGTTTGAATGTAGGTTTGTTTAAGTGAAGTGCCTATGTGCTAACATCTTATGCTAAACCGGAGTCTAATTTTTTGATCTCTAATTCATAACTGCATTAATATTTATAACTGTTGTACCTTTCTCTGATTGGGTATATGTAAAAAGCAACTCTTTTATTACTTTTTTAGAATGTTATGTAGCTAAATTTTACTATATGACCATTAATAATTATTTTCTTTATTTACTTATTTTTATACAAAAAAAATGCACTAGTTTTTGAATGTTAGAATGGAAATGAATCAGTATAATTTATTTTAAACACAGATAGTGACAGTTGCATTTATTTATTTTAATCTTTTGGCACAGAGCAGCTGTGGGTTTATGCTTACAAAAAACCAAACATGCAGCTGTTATTGTATGTAATGTATGGAAGCATCACACTGCATGATACTCAGGCTGCTTGTGTACCATAAGTTTTGATGTTAATTAAGTCATTGAAAACAGTCTGTGTATTTTAACTTGCCATCAATATTAATCTAAGGTATGAAAATAAAATGATGCATGATCAAAACAAAAGTATTTTATTCAGCTATTAACAATGGAATAATATTTATCAACCTAATTTCATCTGTAATGAGTTTTTAAATCTTATACTAATGAAAGGACATGAAAAATATTTACACCACACTTAAAGTAAAACAACCATCACTACACAAATGAACATGAAAGCGTAAAGATTACAAACAATATAAATACATATCAGGTGATCAAAATTAGAGGTGTCATTTTGATTAAATAAAAGGAGCATTGCTTTCCATTATACTCTACTGTCTTGTTTGCCTATAGGAAACTAAGGGAGTATGTTAATGAATTTTATCATTTATTAATTGCACACTTATTTAAATTGAAAACAACAAGAAAAAGCTTAAAAGTTTTGCTTAATAGAATGTTTGTTAATTCATCAAAAATTTATTTTTAAATTCGTATTACTGATACAGATAGGCATGTGACCTATAGTAGCAGTGTCACAAGCTGAACATGTCATTGTTATCTAGATCCCGTTGCACCATCGGGCGGCATCCCCTTTCATCCAACAGACAGTCCATTGATAACCTGTCAATGTCGTCCCAAGATAATTTATTGAACTTATCCTGTACTACTTTTAGGAGACGATGCGCCTTGTTAACTGCTTCAGCATCCGACATTCCCAGTTTCTTGAAATATTTAATCGATGCCTCATATAAACCATCTGGTTTCTTAACAACTAGATTAAGTTTTGAACCATCTTTTATTGTTGGATAAGACTGTACAGTTTGTTCATCGGTTAACGTTCGCCCAAGTAGTAAGAGCTTTTGTTCCTCGACAGGAATTTTCAGCTTTTCTGATATTTGTCGTTTGATTTCAGAGATACATGTTGTTGGTAGAACCTGAAACAATATTAATCATTAAAGCATGTATTGAAATGTTAATAATATCGCTGCGTCGTTGTGTGAGCCAATGATTGTGTGTAGGTTTTACCTCCAAAGTACATTCACCGCCTTGCAATTTTTTTATAGTTATCTTCATCGTGTATTTCAAATCGTATTCATTGGTTTTGCAAAATGTTATCTCAAGATTTTATTGATAAATTATATTTTTTTGATCACCAAACCAAGCGAAAATATTTTTGAATGACGTGACTTCTGTCATTAATGTCAACGTCAACCAATTTCTTTTCGTTCTCTGGTTCTCTGACTTTGAACTTTGTCTTTTTATCCATCCTTTATATTGTATTCTAGGCCGCGCAACGCGAGTTGAGGCAATCATCAAATTCGCACCATTGCATTGAATCCATTAGACAGAATAATAATAACACGATAATAAAATTAAGCTTCAACCACACCAACGCATGCAGATCGCCATCGTCTGCGCGATCATAGGCCAATGAATGACAGGTCGCCTATGATCGCGCCGGTGATGGCGATCTGAGCCCCGATTACGGTAACTTTTATAACGTCTACAATCCAGACGCGTTTCTGATTCTGCGATACGATTGGTCAAAACAGCTGACGTACGCTGTTGAACGACCAATCGTATCGCAGAATCGAGAAGCGTGTCTGGATTGTTGACGTTAAAAATTACCGTAATCGGGGCTCTGCACGCGCTGCGTTGGTGTGGTTGAAGCATTAGGCCATTAATATAAGCAAAAACGCTCGCAACTCTGACAAGTGCTTTTTTCTCGCTTGCTGTATGTACTGCACTAATTTATCAATGAGTAAGTTAGTTATTTTCCGGTACGCGGCATCCATTCCAGAACCTTGCTGCCCCATCGACAGTCAGTTCTGCGTACTATATGCCCTGCCCATTGCCACTTCAGCTTGTTAATCCATTGGGCTATGACAGCGACTTTAGTTCGTTTACGGATCTCCTCATTTCTGATTCGATCTCGTAAAGAAACACCAAGCATAGCCCTCTCCATAGCACGCTGTGCAACTTTGAGCTTCTGTATAAGGTGAGAGGCCACGTTTCCTAGACGAACGGACGGTTTTTGGGACGTCCACCCACAAGGTGGACCGACGACATCATAAAGGTAGCAGGGAAGCGCTGGACGCAGGCCGCTACCAATCGATCAACATGGAAAGCATTGGAGGAGGCATATGTTCAGCAGTGGACGTCCTATGGCTGAAATTATGATGATGATGATGAAGGTAGTTATTTTATTCAATATTATTTAATTTTGTCAGTCTGACTACGCGCAGAATCGCTAAAGAATTATATAAATCTTTCGTTGCTTGTATTGATGGGATTATCAACTCTTGTTTCGCCACCTATAAAAATAAAGCGTAGGATTAGAGTAGGCGCACACCGTTTATTTTTAGTTGGCCGATAGTTGTGCCCGATTTTAAATTGTATGAAGAATCGGCCAAATCGAATCGGTGTAGTGTGCGCACTCCCATAAATGCCCATATTGATCAACTGCCCGACTAAACTATCGGCCGACGACGAAAAATCAACGGTGTGCGCCTACTCTTAGTGATAAAATATGTTGTAAGTACTGGCTGAAAAGAAAATAGCAATGAAAAAGAAAACCAAATCGTAAAATCACTTTCCGTCAAAAATTGGCACGGATTGGTTATTGGTTTGTAAATAAACAGTAAACAATAATTAATTACCAAGGTGATTTTTGAATTTGAAAGCCTTGCACTAACTACTACCTGCTGTTTGATCAAGATTATTTCTCGGAGGACGAAGTATGGAGCCAATTAAAGAAAAGAGTCCATTCGCTTCTGTATATATTTTTGATGTAGAAGGTTTGGTTAACTTTTATTATACAACTAACTGTGGCCGCGACTTCGTACGCGTGAAAATAGATTGAACTAGCTGTGCCCGCGACTTCGTACGCGTAAAAGTAGTTTGATTAATATTTCTCGTTTTTGCAATATTTTTCTTTACTACTCCGTCTCTATTGGTTGTAGGATGATTTAAGTTTTAGGCCCTAAAGCCTTCATGGGCTATCTAAGCAACACAAAAATATTTTTTACAAATCTGACCAGTAGTTTCTGAGATTAGCGCGTTCAAGTAAACAAACAATAATCGGGCAACGTTTTAAACACCAATCTTTATCTTAATAAATCAATAATTTCATCATGTTTTTATTCCATCCTTTCATAATATTTTGCGGTGTATTTAGGGTATGAAGATGAAAAACATTAAATTAAAAAATACCTACATTTTCTATTCCTATGTATCCGATTTGGCCCATATGACCCAGGCGCCACCTAGCGATGACGTCTCATTTCAGTTTCATTTTTGGTCGGGGATACCGTAGCCTAGGAAACGGGTGTAGCTACAAGACAACAACATTGATAAGTCAATTTCCCTATCGTGTTACATAAATCTTCATAAATATTCGCTTTATATCACGTTTAGTATCACCTGCAGTTTCATTTAAATCTTGGTTAACCAGTGATTGCAGCTTTTGTGTGGGCCAGAGTGAAGAATTTTTTGACAGATCAAAGTATGGCTGGCAGGTAGGATTTAGTTTAATTTTGTCTCAATTTATCAATCTAAATCACTTTGAAGCACTCTATTGTATTCTTATGCGGAATAATCAGGTAGCAACACATCAGACGTGTATCCCGGAAGGCAAGTGGCGTCCCAAATGTCTCCCCTCGATCCCGGCCGAGCGAGCGAACGATTGCGTATCAATTTTATCACAGAATACATTAGGTGGGAGGGCAGCGGCGGCGGCGCCTGGCACGGCACGAGCCTCACTTGTCTCGCCGTAATATTCTGGGAAAAGTAAAACCAAAAGTACATCACCCTGCTTTATTTATAATTTTTCATGCACACCTTTGATTATCACAAAACGAGAGTGGGTGGAGACTTACTGAAATTGTAATAATTTTTTCGCACATAAAAATATCATACTTTTGATTAACATTTGAATTTCCCACAAAATATCTAAATTACATCCTTTATTCTCAAAAATATCCAAATACTTTTGTTATTTTTTTATGTACAGAAATCAGAATCAAATTATTAAGCAAATACAATAATCACGAACATTTTTTTATTGCACATAAAAAACTATAAAATGTCAACTGTACTAACATTGATTAACATTTTTAGATTTATTACTTCAACACAACTTTTAATGTAATAAAAATCTAAGTTGTCAACATAAACATATAATAAATAAATTCTAAACATATCATACCACCACTCAATAAAACAATAAATATGGCAGCAATAAACTGTTACAATAAATAAGGCAATATGTTCACCGATGCATGTCACGTCAGTAGATGGCAGGTGGCTACACTGGAGCGCGGCACACCTGCACGCACCCCTCACCAACACAGTGACACACACCGCTTCCACTGGTAAACACCTCAGAACCAAAGTACTCAAAATAAGCTTGCCTAACATGGCAGCAGCCACATAGTAACAGTTGTTTGATCAATACAACTCTCAGTGTCTATCAGTAGTGCCTCACAATAATGTGTAACTGTTGTGTTAGAGTGCTATTTTATTCATAAATCCCAAATAACGATTCAAAATGTCCGAAATGGGGTTTGAGAACGTGTTTTACCTTGAGAGTGAGTGCTATTATATAGTTGTTATGTTGAGAGCGACGGTGCGGAGGGACAGATGAGGTGTTGCCTGGATACGCTCCACAGAGGCTCTCCGCCACCCGAGCTCAGGCAGATCAATAACATCTCTATCGCTTGGATAGCGTTATGCAATTGTTTGATTTGGTTTATTTTGTTTGATGTTTTATTATTAAATGTTTCTACTTTATAATTTGTTACATAATATAAAATGAAAATTAGATAAGACTATTTTTCTGAATCACTTTTGTTTTTTAATATGGGAAAAATGGCATTGTTTGTTGATTAGAATTACATATTAAAATTTTAAATTAATATTAGTTTTCAATTTAATTTTCACTGAGGTATAATAACATACACAGGAAAAAAGATTTTTTTTTAACCTTTAACCAGTGACATGACAATTTTATAACACTATACTGCCGTCCAATCACTATAATGCCGTTAACCCACAATTGGTCAATTTTGTCTTTTGAATACCATCCGAATCAGAAAAAAATGCTTAATCTAGCACTATTATCGAAATTTTTATATCTTGTTTAGTTCCTGAGATAAAAAAAATAAGAAAGCCGCTAACTGCTTCGCCTCTGCAAGATTACATAACTAAAATGCAGTTAAATTACATTTCTTAGCTTAAACGCGGTTAAGCGTCTTTAATTGTTATTAGAATTAAAAATTTAAGAAAAATTACAAAGCTTTATTGCCGTTATTTACAATTTCTAGTCAATACAGCCGTTAAGGTACTTTAACGACAATATTGCTAAGCTGCTCTTTACAAAGCTTTAATAGACTCCTCAAGACTAAAACGCCGTTAAGTAAAATTATTAGACTTAAACGCAACAAAGGTCCAATAACGGCATTATAGCTTTGTATTACATGAATTTATTTATTAAAATTGCACTAGTAAATTCACCATTAAGGCTAACCAAATGTAACAATCTATGTGTTTTTTAAATTTTTACAAGACTTAAATGCCGTTAACCTACATTCCTAAACTATAATGCGGCTATGTTCAAAAAGTTGAATGAAGTGTTCTAAGCATCGTTGCGTGCGTCGATCACTCAGCTTTAAAAAAGAAAGAAAGAAAGAAAAGAAAAGCTCAGTCAGAGTTACTGATGTGCCGCTGTTAACGCTCCCGGAAATATTCCTAGCGTTCTCAACAAAATAAATTTAGTTTTAATTTTATGTTTGTTGTTTATTAATATGTGATGTGCAATGTTTCTGTTTTATTATCTAAGACTAGTCGTTATAAACAAGGTATGAAACGTGTTAGTGAGATATTGCTGTCTTGTCACTATTTTCGTGGCTAATGCGCACTGAAACTTTAGGACACGGCAGCGCGGTAATTGAGCATCAGTGTGCCTCTGAGTTTTAAATGATAAGAAAACGTTGCGTTTTGTTTCCTAATTTTAAAAATTAGTAAAAGAAGCCTGGACGTGTTCGATCATTTTACTTGTTCATTTTGTTTTACATCTTCTATGTTAGACGAAGACATAACGTTCGTTTGTTTCAGGCTAATGTCGTTCAACGGCTGGACAAAGGTCTCCTCAAGGATTTCCACAACGATCGGTCCTGCGCCGCCCGCATCCACCTCTTCTGACCTTTACCAGATCGTCGATGGATATGATATAGATGGATTCTAGTAAGGGGCCTGCCTGCCCACACTACGTCTTCAGGCTCGTGGTCGCCATTCGAGAATTTTTCTACCCCATCGGCCATATTCAGCTCTGCCACTTGATTTTAGCAATTCTGCGGGTTATGTCGGTCACTTTGGTTTTTCTACGGATCTCCTCATTTCTAATTCGAGCACGCAGGGAAACTATGCTTGGCATAGCACGCTCCATCTCCCTTTGGGTGACCTTGAGCCTTTTTATGAGGCCCATAGTAAGCGACCACATCTCAAATCCGTATACTATCACTGGCAACTCACACTGGTCACAGACTTTTGTCTTAAGACACTGCGGTATTTCGGACGTGAAAATATCGCGAAGCTTCCCGAACGCTGCCCAGCCGAGCTGGATTCGATGATCAACGTCTCTCTCAAAGTTGGACCTACCTAACTGGATGGTTTGTCTCAGGTATACATAATTGTCAATAACTTCGAGTGTAGTCTCCAACTTTTAGAGGAGTGGGTACAACACGGACATTTGACATGATCCTCTCCAGCCCAGAAGCTTGAAAACATCTTCCAGGGCGGTGGTAAACAGTTTCGGAGATATTACGTCTCCCTATCTCACCCCTCGCTGCAACTAGATAGGTTTCGAGACCTAATCCTGGAGACGGACTGACATTATGACGTTTTTATACGAACCTTTTTTGAAGAGAAGTACCACCATACTTCTTTGCAATGCCGTAGGCGTTTTTCCCTTGAGGATGACGGAATCAAACAGCTTCTGAAAAGCCTTGTACCGGCGTTCCGCCTGCTTTCAGAAGCTCAGCTGTGATTACATCATCACCAGGTGCCTCGTTGATTTTTAGCTATTTGAGAACCATTCTAATCTCGTACAGACTACGGGATATATTCGGCAAGTGTCGGGTCAATCTAGCTAGCACGTATTTTCTATAAAAAATGTGTCAAATGATCCATCACATAGGCTATCCACAACTTATTCAGAAGTCGTGAAACAGGCCCTTACTAAGCGATTGTGAAATATGCCCTTAATGTCGAAAAACGAACAAATGGACAGTAACATTATGTAATTACGTGTAAAAAGATATTTCTGTCATTAAAACAACATTTCACGAAGAAAAAATTAAATTTAGTAAAGGTGTAGTTATATTGAGAATATTACCGTGAACCACTTATATGTCGACTTAATTTGATACTATTTTATTTAAGAATTGTAGTTTATTTCCATTTGATAAACATGATTCTCACCATTCTCACTAACTAGGTGATTATTATAAGCAGCGTGAAGTTAATTTATTAGGTAAGACTTGCCGCGTTGTACATTATTATTGAATTAAATAACTACGAGATCTATATCTCAGTTTTTATTAACTACAAAATATTGTAGTTGTAACATGTTTCAGTAAACAGGCAAAATAATATAAATATATTGCGGCATTGGTAATAAAGTGTCGTCACTTATTATTTTTATTATTGTGAAACTGCTAAGTTTGAGAACTTTCAATAGTTGGTTTTAATTGATCTCAAATAATGAAAATGTAAAGATATTTTTATTTTGTGTTGTCTTTTATGAGTATAGCCTGACCAGGAACATAAAAACCCTCGCCATGTTGCGGAAAAGTAATGGTACTAATTTCTTTTAATGGCAACAGTAACTGAAAACTTCATTGTCATGTCACCTTGCATGTCAGTCTATTGCTGTCAAAGTGTAAACAAACTTTATTTTAAATGTGCGCAATTGATTTTGTGAATTAAATTGCTAAAATCTTTTTAAAGTCGTGAAAGAAAAGTGGTTTACAATGTGTTAAAGTATTTGTCGAAGAGAAATACTAAGGGTTCGGACAATATTTTCATTGAATAATGTTTCCGACAAAGGTTGTCAAATTGACTGACATGTTTATCGCATAGTACAGTCCACTATGAAAATTAGCTGTGGTTTGTTTCAACTACCTATTTTAAAATTTTTTGTCACTTTAAGTGTTGAATTTTATGGAATTGGGAAAGAAGTACCGAGTTTGAAGCTAAGTAGCTAGTACTTAGCTTAAATGCCGTTATGGTGAAAAGTTTTGTTTTTAACTGCATTTTAGTCTTGTAATCAAAACGAATCAAACAGGCATACCAATAGTTTCGTAATTTATGTGTTAATACTAGACTTAAATGACGTTAGCTAACATTAGCTGCATTTAAGGCAAGTATTTTCACGTTAAAAAATAATAGTTTTACCGAGCTAAAACGTCGTTAAACTATTTAACGGCATTAAAGTTTAGTAGAATTATTAGTTAGAAACTCATTTTACAAATGTATCAAAGTTATTCAAGATCCAAAACTTAAACGCCGTTAAGGTAGCCATACCGGCGTTTTAGTTGTGTATATTTTGAGATATTATTTCAATAATACTGAGTTAAAATGTATAAATTAAAATATTTCAAAATCTATAATATGTAGCGTCGTGAGAGTTTGTGTCAATTGTAGCTCTTAAAAATACCTTTAAAATGATATATTTAAATTACAAATTACTCTTTTACTTTTGTAACAGCGATTTTTTTTTAATTCGTGATCTTTAAACTCGTTTTTCTCCGAAAGTGGTTTTTGCACTTAACGGCGTTATAGTGATCGGACGGCAGTATAAGGGACATGACGTCTCACAGGCTACTACTTCAAAATCGAAAAATTTACAAAATTACATGTGGATTATTTAAAATTGTGTTTGTATTTAACTATTGGTATGCCAATAAAACAAATTTAAATGAATTCAATAATTTTTTTTATAATTACATAGAAAAAAAACTATAAATACCAATTATGGTAATTTTCAGCCTCAATTGACATGAGGTCCTTTTTTAGCATTTTAATAGACTTTATATAAATTCTTTGTCAAATTTAATACTTTTTACTAAAAATCTAATAATATAGACACCGAAAAAACATAAAAGCCACTTCTGAAAACTAAAAATAAAAATTCTGACACCCCCTCAATTTGACATAAAATCAATGGCAATTTTTGCACAAAAGGCGAGACCATTGCAAACATATGAGATTGTAACACCCCGACACACGTGTACTGTGGCGGCATAGCATGGGTTGGCACCCGGGGCGACCCCCTCCCCCCCTTCCCACCCCTCATAAGACCATAAGTTGGGTGTTCATATTGCGGGGGGCTAATGAACCCCAGAATTGTCAGGCGTCCTACAGAATTTTCGGGTTACCGATTTGAAGACGAAAGATGTTAGTACTAAGTCATGAGCTATCGTATATGATGATACCAATCGCATGAACCCCCTTATCATGACATATCAGATGCGACGTCCTTGTCATGCAGATGCACCTGTGGGTACTAATCTGCGCGACTGAATTGTCACTCCGTTGTCACCCCCCTGATACTTGGCACCCGGGGCGGACCCCCCCTCCCCCTTACGCCGCCACTGTCCGCTGTGTACATTGATATTCTGTGTAGTTTAGGCAGACAAATGCTGCATGCCCTTCGCTTGGCTTGACTTGTTTCAGGATGGAACAGACAGTCCCATCATTTGAACCTTGACGAGGTTCAAAAGGTTCATACGATGGACCGAATGTTCGTAATATTTTATTATTTGATGAATTCGTGGACTGGAGTTATCTTTTCCTAGTCTTTTCTGCCATTTTGCACTAAAAACAAAAAGTAGAGTGTAAAAGTTTTTGTATGACAACTAGGGACATGTAGCCTCACAGGCTACGATCGATTTTCTAATTCGTATAACTTTCGTGCAAAACAACCGATAACACGACTGCCTTCTTTGATGGTCGTTTTAGCTCTAAAACAAAAGCTACTAAGACGCTGGGTCGCGGCAAGCGAGGGGAAGTGGTCAATTCTAAGAATTTGAGAAACATGCGACGCCTGTGAGACTACGTGTCACTGGTTAAAGGTTAAACAAGCTGATAGATCTTGTATGCTTGACTGTATATTTTTTTTCATTCATTTTGATAATAGAGGAAACCAATCAAAGTAATACACATAATGATGTGCAATTAAATATAAGGTTTCATTAGTGAGTGCAGGTAGATCAAAGGGGTGGCAGCCCTTGTTGTTCACAACAGGGGGAAATGCAATTTGCCATAGATTAAGTTGCATAGGTATTATCTGGTGTGTAATGAATATCATGTTACTTTTTAGCTTTTTAATGTTTCTGTTTTGATGATGGGTTTATTTTTTATACATTATTTATTTGTGACCTATTTTGGCTATTTCATTACGATTTCTAGCACACCCAGATTCGAGATAAAAAAAACATATAATGATTTTTTTTTCGAAATTGCCGCGTGTGGAATTCAGTGGCGAAGACCCTTACGGATCTTAATTTTGAACCACTGCGTCATAATGACGCATTTGTAAAGTACGATATTCCACAAATTAATTTTTCAACATGAGTCTATCTGCCATCTTAAAACAATACAGCATGGTATGTGTGTCATGGACTGTGAAGAGTTGTTATGATGGGTATGGTATTCTGTTGCAGATTTTGAGTGCGGCGACGAGGTTCTAGTGGAGTCGTCGCCGCCCGCTTCGCCAGACATGGCGGCGCGACTCGCGGCCCCCACTCAGGTAAATGGCTATGGACCAGCCATTAGCTCACTTGGTCCTTCTTTCAAACTTGTAGCTCACTTGATTCGCTCATTCACTTGGTTCTTCCGAAGTTATTTAGTTTGTAGCTCACTTGATTCCTTTGAAGGGTTGTCGAAACGTAGATGCTGCTACGTAAAGACAAGTCTGTTTGAGGTTCCTTCAGAGGGCTGCAGAAACGTTGCGTTGAGCGGGCCATCTGTCCAGATAAAACTAAAAAGTATGAAGAAGTCGCTTTATTTGACTTCAAGTTTTGCAGCTCAATCTTGGAACTCTGCAGGACTCCATACTTATTTCGATTTTTCTTCCTCACTAATGCGCCAGTTGTCTACACATACCTACAAGTTCATAGCTTCACGATCCTACTACATATACACAAGGTAGTTTGCCGAAAATGGACTTTGACTTAACATCGAAATTCCATTTCGACGATTCCTATCGATTCATTATGATTGACCTATTTATGAGTAGCTCACGAGTAGTTACAGCTTGAGTCTACTTTCGTTTCAGCCAAATGACGTCCACTGCTGGACAAAGGCCTCCCCCAAGGTTTTCCACAATGAACGGTCCTGCGCTGTCCGCATCCAGGCTCTTCCCGCGACCTTTACCAGATCGTCGGTTCACCTAGTAGGAGGCCTGCCCACGCTACGTCTTCCAGCCCGTGGTCGCCACTCAAGAACTTTCCTGCCCCAACGGCCATCGTCTCTGCGAGCTATGTGCCCCGCCCACTGCCACTACTTTGGTTCTCCTGCGGATCTCCTCATTTCTGATTCGATCACGCAGGGAGTCTACTTTAAAAAAGCTTAAAGTCGTATCTGATTGTTTTACAACCGAAGCTTAAACTTGTAACTAACTTGTAGCTATGTTGTGATCAGGGAACGAGTAACGGCGCGGGCGGCGGCGGGTCGCCGAGCGCGGTGCGCGAGCTCATCGTCATCCCCGAGCTGCCCAACTCCATACATCTGCAGCACGCCATACAGCAGGTAATCATTAATAGATCCCCACTAGGTGGACCGACGACCTGGTGAAGGTCGCTGGAAAAACCTGGATGCGGGCAGCGCAGGACCGGTATGGAAACCCTTTGTCTAGCAGTGAACGTCGTTTGGCTGAAACGAACAAACGATTTGATAGATAGAGTAACTAGGTACATTATTTCAGACCATGGAAGTAAGATAAGTAAAAGAATTGAAAGATCTTAATTGATTGGGCTTAGGAGTACATTTGCAAATGAAGAGATGTTGAACGCTACCCGCAGTTCAGACAAAAGTGACGTTCTCGGCACCTCACCTCACGGCATAGAATTTTCATAGTCGTCATAGTTAGTTACCGGTCCTTGGATAATTTTAGTAGGTACTATAACGTTTCCTTGGCGGTTAGTTCACCTTGATTGCGCTACGCTAATACGAAAACGTGTGTAAATTACCGCGAAACGACAAGAAGTTTGGTGGCTTTTATGAGACTTGAAACTATTCTAGATTTGTCATAATGTTAGGGTTGATGATTACGTTCCCTAAATACGGGCACCGTATTCAAATTACATTTCACATTCACTTGGCAAGCACCCAAATCTATAGTAACGATAAATTGGCGTGAAATGAACAACGTTTAATGAATGTTTTAGAAAAAATGTAGGATATATCGTTCTACCCACATTTTTAATTCTTTGTAAGCAGTTATTTGTTGTAAATTCGATGGCTATCTGTAGGATGTTCGAGAAATGAAGCAAAGAAAAAAAGTTAATTTCCTATAATATCAGGATGTTTAAAATTTGGGATTTCACTAAAAGCGAAGCCATTTCAGTATTTCGTAAAAAGGAGTTCGTCAATTTGAAGGCACTTGAAACTTGACGTTTGAGTTTAACCGAAACTGCTTAAATATTTTTTTATATTGTGATGTATATTTTGGTGCTGCAATCGTATATGAAAGAAAAGCGATATGTTACAAGAAGCTGCCACAATTTGGTAGCATCAGCTGATAGAAAGTGACGCATTTTCATTGCGTGCGCGATTATGCGTGCAGGCCAGACAGTTTTTATATCCGTCTGTGGAAAACTACTGGAAATGGCGATTTGAATTACACTTCTGCTGATGCTGAATTATTACGTTGGCAGGTAGAATGGAATAGAATAGTTTTTATTTGAAAGAAAGGTATACAAGCAGGCAAGACAAAGGTACATAAAGAAAGAGATACACAAGTGGACAGATAGCTGCTTGTGCCCCTCTGACAAAAAGGCACCCGCTCAGCATACATCAAGACCGCGCCAGGGCTTGTCTCGAAACTGATTTTCAGCGAGGGTCCTCTTTTGTCAGCAGGTAGTTTGAACTCATTGAGTAGTTTTGTAAATTATTGTTTTTGGTACCCAGGTGTCGAGCACTGTGCAAGTGGAGGTCAACGGTGAGAGCTCCGGCCAGTCCAGCCCCACCACTGAAGCCCAGCACACCTACATAACCGTTGCAAGTAAGTGTTTGTTTACGCTACTATGCACGTGTCACTTGTATTTATTTTGATTACCCAGGGGATTGACGTCATAGCGCTGTGCCATTAGACAGGAATTACAGAAACTGCATACTGGTAGATAATAAAAATTGCCAGTTAACTGGTGCTTGTGAGTTGTGACTTGTGACGTAATTTGGCACGAAAGAAGACACTTATTATTTTTATTTATTACCTTACAATTTGGACAAATTAGAATCCAGTAAGTTTAAGTAATGCATGTATACTTTTATTTGTAGGCATGTATTTATTTATTTTTGTTTGCACATTATGTTTGTTTAGCACATTTTATTTTGTTTGTGTGGGCGCGCAGTGCAGGACTCGTGGCGTGGCAGCGAGGCGCTGACTGTGAAGACCGAGGCCGACAGTGACCAAGAAAGCAAGTTTTAATTTTTCGTTGGCTTTACCATGCTATATTTTGGTTCTTGCAATTTAAAAAACTGCTTACGTTCTTTTGTTCGTGAAATTATCGATGCGCGCGCGCCGAAAATTCTTGATTTCGAAGAGTAACCGTGATGATTACTTTTGGGAATCAAGATAACTCTACTAAATTATAGATAGCCGTATAATTTTGTTTGTTTGTATGTAAAAAGGTTATCTCTCATGTCATCATATTCGCAAAATTACTTTGGCGTGTATTCGTGATATAAAGATGATGAAACATGTTGTCTGTACTTTTCTGTTCACGTGACCTGTTTTTTATTTGCAAGAACTTCAAACAAATAACAACAATAACTTACGTGTGCTTTGGTGCAGGGTTTTATTGCGATGTCCTCTATTTATGATATCACACAACACACTAACGTCGCGGAAGCTTTGATCGCGCCTTTGATCTGGACAAATAATACACAACAGATTCACCCTCCGAAATTCAATCTGATTATCTCTACCTGTCAGTGCGATATTAAAAGTGCTTGTTAATTTTTTGCTATCAATCAAAAATGGTCTTTAGTGTGTCGATGTAGGTAGTAGTTTTAATCGCGGAGGGGTTGTAATAATGGGGTGTAATTGCGGATTATCTACCTGGATGGTTCGAGAGATATCACGACAGGTGCTGGCTACCTTTGAGTTGACGCGTGCCAAGCGCCCTTCCCCGCGCCGCTATGTGTCTGCGATAATCGGGTGCTCCCTTTTTTCGTGTTTATGTGTTGTAACTTTACATTATTTTGTGAGATAAAATCGAGATTAATCTGATCATTTTGTTTGATGAGTTTTTGTTAAAATGTGTGATACATATAGTAAGTATTGTGCAACACAATAACACTTCTCACTAACAATTCTTTGGTGCTTTATCTGTCATCTAAAAATCTTCAAGTACTAATTCTGGCTTAACCGGGGTAGTTATATTCTTTCTAACCATCGAAGAACGAGAGTGCTAAATTCGGAGGTTGCTCAAAGTGATTTTGTCTCAGTGTATTATCTATAATCTAAATAGATTTAAAAAAAGAGTCGCTAGATGTTTCTAAGCGCTAAATTCGTTATAAAAGAAGTAAGGCTTAAGACAGTTAAAGAAAAAAACAACATTGGTCTATTTACATGAGAAAATAAGACGTCATCCAACTGTTTCACAGAACGGCGCCTGTCGTTAAAAGCAAAAATACGCGTACCTACACTTTTAATAATACTGTGTACTTGGTATATAAAACATACGATTGGGCTAAAAAATTGAGAAAAAATTGAATTGTGGACAGCCTGTATAATAAATCCAGTACATAGTCAATAAATGCTCTACAAAGGGGAAAGTTTGCAATTATATCGCTTACATCTCTCTTACAATGGTCAAAATACAGGTGGGGTGGTAGGGTGGGTGTCGCTAGAGCGAGAGCGCACGCATTAGAGCGGGACGGGCGTCTGTTAGGCCGGTGCGTGTTTCTGGGAAGTCTGGTCCAGGGCAAGTTGCCTGGGAGATCTCCGGCGGTATGGAGGTGCCTCGCTACCGGTCCTATTACCCCTGTGAGTTACACCCCCGGGCCTAAGGTTTCTGTGCCATAATTATAGGTTGCCGTGGCACTGTCTCGGCGCTGAGATCATTATTCATTATAGCGTTGGGCGTGGGCGAGATATCGGCTGCTGTCTTGGAGCGCGACTTATTCTTTCGTAGCTATCTCTCGTGCTAACAGTCATTAACATCCTCCATCTTGTGGTACTAACAGTATTGAATTAATTTAACTGTTATTAATTAGTGGTTGTTTTCCGCAGGCGAGGGCGGTAACGGCGTGAACTACCATGTGCAATACGTGGAGCCTCAGGAGCTGTACGGGCAGAACCACCAGCAGCAAGCAATGTAAGCTTTTCCTTTGTTTCATTAAACATTTTCATCACAAATCTCCATCGGGTGTCCTGTTTTACGTACACAAACAATTTTCTTTTGTTTTATTTATACATTTTTCGAAGAAGTGATTTTCAATGCGAAATAGTAGGCATAAAATTACTGCGCGGCCATACATTTTAATAAAGTGAATAAGATGTGTACCAAGCCACAATTTATTTTTCGCCGCTGATTTGAATTTGCGATGACTTCTAATAAGATTTTATTTATTAATATCAATATTTTCACACATTTTACGTTAAAAATAACATATACCTTTGGACGTGCTTCAGTAACAACCAGTTTATATGGGACTTTAAAAAAAATCTTACTATCTTTTATCTTTGTTATTATTGCGCCAACATAATGAAAAAACCTTATAATGAACCATGTAATGAACATTATCAATAAATTTCTTGTTCTTATCCCCTAAATTGTTGGGGCGTTGGTACTTTAAAATACAGCAAACCTTCAACCAAAGATTTGAATACTACATTTTCCGGCGTTCTAAGCTTGACACCAAGCCTGTGCTAGCTGCGGCAAGCCATTAAATATGTAATTGTGTATTTGGTGGGCTTATTTACACGCAATGAGTTTCTTCGCAACAAATATTGGCGGTGCAAGCCACGTGCCAGCTTACAAGCGACTGCATCCGAACAAAGCGGTTGCCATGGAAATCAAACTACATCTAGATGCGGTCTAGCGTCTCTAGAGACGCGTTGTAGTTGTTTGTTTTATAGGTGAGCGATTTTCATCGCACTGGCCCTCTGCCCCTCTGGGGCCTCTGAAAAAGCAATTTGAGGTCATTTTGGTGAAGATTTTACGAGCAGCACACAGCATCATCCTTGAAGCAGTCAGTATTATTGTTTCAAGCTGTGCGGCTAAATAGAAATTATCTTATTTTCTATTCATTAGAATATGTGACATTGCTTGAGCACTTACGAAAGCTCTCAACGGTTTGCAAGTGTCTGCTCAAAAAGTTGATTACGAATGCTTGAGTTAGTTAATACTAAATGCTCAAGCTGTCCGTGTACGCCGGGATTTTAATTTAAATAAAAATAAGACTCGAATTCCCTATAAAATTCTTGGATCCGCAGAATGCTAATAGTCGTGACGCACTTTGTGCCGTCAAGACCATAAACTGAGCGGATATACCATTTTGATTTAGTATCTTGTTAGTTATCGGTGATATTATAATAATTAATTAATTATTTGAATGTTGAATGTGATGACATACCTACGTCGTGTTACCAAATAAATATTTTTCTTTCATTCTTTTTTTCCGACGTCCATCGCGCGTACGGATATTCATTGTACCTATGTGTGCCGCTACCCTGGCATCATTCATCGATTAGGCCTTGTATCCACTTCAGCATGCTCAAATGAGCCGCTTAAGTTTCGGCCAAACCAACGCGTGCGGTTCGCGTCGGCAATGGCGATGGCGCGACGCCGCGACATGACGCGTTGATGTGAACTCATCTCTACTAATTCATATACGACATGTGATCGCTATCGCGCAGCACGCTGGTTGCGTTGGTTTCGAACCTTTAACGAACTTTAGGCTTTATCGTCATATATACAAAGTCGCTTGTGGCCCGCAGGGAGACGCTGCGCACGTACCCGGTGTACGGCGTGGCGACGGTGGGCAGCGGCGACGCGGGCCCCAGCGACTGGCCGGCCGGCGCCTCCGCCGACTACACGGCCTACGGAGTCGTGGTGAGTCTGAACAAGGTAAATATACTTCTTCTGCACTTTTATTACAATAGAACCATAGAGATATAGGCGATTATCACACTGCACCGCGTTCCGCCGCGGTCGCGTGGCGACAATAACGAATCCCGCGCGCAAACGCGTTGTCAGTGTGTTGTGCCGCGCGTGTTTTCTATACAAACAGGTACTTGCATATAATGATTAAATTTGTCGTCCCGCGTACCGCGGCAGAGCGCGGTGCAGTGTGATAATCGCCAGAGTGATGCCAACTAATGCGCTGAGTTCGAAACTCAGTGTCGCATTAGAAATTCACATACACAAAGTAATCAAAATTATGTTCATTATCCACTGCGATATCAGTACTCAACTTCGAATAATCTTTAGTACTATGCAAGCAATGTAAACTGTTTACATTACGACGTCGCTGCTGTCATCATTGCTGTTACGAGCAATGTGTTCTGTTTTTGGGCATATTGCTGCGACACCGGCCCCGCCCCCTTGTCACATTTCCCTTTAGTTTCTGTGAGCTGTGAATATAACATTATTTTAAGAAATTATAAAAACGTAACTGAAGTTTTGGGCTTGATTAATGGGTCACACAAAAGAGGAGATAAACGAGCTAAAGTCGCTGACATAGCCCGACGGATTAGCAAGCTAAAGTGACAATGAGCAGGGCACATAGTACGCAGGCAAAAGGTGGACCGACGACCTGATAAAGGTAGCAGAAAGGAGCTAGATGCTGGCCGCTACCAACCGTGCGATGTGGAAGACATTGGGGGAGGCCTATGTTCAAAATTCAAATTCAAAAATTCAAATATTTAGAGTAGTTTAAGAAATTTAAAGAACTATTGATAGTGACGTGCTAAATTTTAGACGCGAGACAGGTAGAGGCGTATCCCGCGATTCCCGACGCGCGCTTGTTTCAGGGTGCCTTTGACTGCCCTCTAAAGTTATCCGCTCACCTTTACCGACAGATTTCTCTTTGTCGTTTTTGCTGGGGGAGGTTTTTCGTTCAAACAAAGCCTACAGTATTTTTATATGATTTTAAAACCCTGTAAAGTACTTGGTATATTGTACGAGATAGCGTTGAATGGAAATCATGCTGAGCGAGAGAACAAATGCGACGTCGACGTGTTCCATGTTCTATTGTTTTATACTACTTTATCTACAGTTAGGTTAGGTTAGGTTACAAACACACATATACCCATTACACACTCAAATTCATACTTACATCCTTCACGCACACACGCACATATACACACATATACACACACGCACACACACACACACACACCCACACACACAAATAAACATACACATACGTACATACATACACACACTTCTATACAAAATACCTACCTACATTATATTTGTCTAGGGAAGAGCGGTATCACCTGGCGTACACCTTATGCCTAAAGGGTGATTCCATTGTCAAAGATTTTGTAAAAGGTTTATATTGAAATAAAAATTATTATTATTCTCTTTATTAACTTTGGTTCTTAATTTTAAATATTTTTTTACAATGTAAATTATCAAAAAAAATAAATAAAAATACATTATAAAAAAATACTTAAAAATAGTTATTCCGCTGGTAGCGGAGCAGGGCCCAAGCTACCGGTGGTCAGGGTCACAGGCTGAGGAACCTCCGGACAATGCGTGCCGTGCTGAGGATCACCGCCTTTTGTATCTGACCCTTGAGCCAACCATCCAGCGAGAGCTTCTTTAGATGTTGGTCGAAGCTCTTCGCTATTAGCCCGTTTGCCGAGACAACTATCGGGACAATGATCGTCGAGTCAACATCCCACATGGCGGTCACCTCGTGGGCCAAGTCAAGGTATTTGCTTTGCTTTTCCTTCTCGGCCTTCACGAGGTTTTCGTCATGCGGGATGGTAATGTCAACGAGCATTGCCCGACGTTGGGATCGGTCAACCACCACAATATCAGGCTTATTACAGACAATAGTCCTGTCTGTGATGATAGAACGATCCCAATAGAGCAATGCATGACCATTTTCGAGAACTGGCACCGGCTGGTATCGGTAATAAGGCGTCTCAGATTCAAGAAGGTCGTACTGAAGAGCAAGTTGCTGATGGATGATTCTGGCTACTAGGTTATGCCTGTGCAAGTACTCACCGTTAGCAAGATGCGAACAACCAGAAATTATATGCCTGAGTGACTCTCCGGGACGGTGGCATGCTCGACAAATGTCGACCGTACCGTCCTTCAGGATATATTTTCGGTAATTGTTCGTCATCATGACCTCGTCAGCAATTGCACAAGCAAAACCCTCGGTTTCCCCAAAGAGGTCACCGAAGCGTAGCCAGTTCACCGAGGCGAGGAGGTCTACATCAGGACCTGTAAGGGCCCGATAGAACCTCCCGTGCAGCTCCTTGCTCTTCCATACGTCCTTCCGATCCGCGACGCTCAGGACCTTTGGCTTGCGCCAGTTCTCGTTCGCCAAGGAGAGCGGCGTGAGGCCTTTGTCAACTGCCACAACATCGCGATGCATTCCGCACTCATTGGCAAGGAAATAATCCCTGAGACTGCACACTTCACGGTTGTGGAGGTTCTTGGCATTTAAAAAGCCTCGACCACCCCACTTCCGTGGAATGTACAGTCTCATCACAGATGAACGCGGATGTAACATGCGATGTTGTGTGAGCTGCTGACGTACCTTCCTATCCAGGGCGTCAAGTTCAGTCTGAGTCCATCTTAGTATGCCGAAGGAGTATATCAATAGAGGCATCACCCAACCGTTGAAAGCTCTTACTTTGTTGCCGCCAGACAAAAGACTATTAAGAACTTTTGTCAGTCGGCTACAAAAGCGTTCTTTCACCGATTTTTTGATGTCTTCTACAGATATACCTAACGATTCTGACATACCAAGATACTTATAGGTCTCAGTTTCGGAGAGAGATTTGAGTGTCATTGTCTCAGAAAGTTGTAAATTCGGGGAATTCACAACTTTTCCCCGCTCTACATGTAAGACCGCACACTTGTCTACACCAAACTCCATCCTGATGGCGTTGCTAAATACCTGTGTGGTTTTTAGCAACTTCACCAGGTCTTGTCGTTTTGGTGCGAACAACTTGAGATCATCCATGTAGAGCAGGTGACTAATGACCTCACCCCCTCTTCGAAGCCGATAACCAAGCCCTGAATCCTTTAACAGAGTGCTAAGAGGATTCAGTGCTAGGCAGAACCATAAGGGACTCAAACTGTCACCCTGGAAAATGCCTCGCTCAATCCTTATGAAGTTCAATGGATCAGGAGACCTCTCACTACCACCTGGTTGCCGAAGGACTGTAGTCCACTGCCCCATGCATGAGCTTAAAAAGGATCTCAGAGTTGCATCTACCTTATACAACTCTAAAATCCTCTCTAGCCATGAATGAGGCACCGAATCATAGGCCTTCTTATAGTCAATCCAGGCAGCAGAGAGAGCTTTCCTGCTCCGTCGAACTTGTTGGCTAATGGTCATGTCTATGAGGAGGAGCTCTTTAGTACCACGAGACCCAACCTTACATCCATTCTGAGCAGGGGCCAAGATATTGTTCGCGACAATATGCGTATTAATTTTTGTGGTCAGAATAGATGTAAGGAGCTTGTAGATGGTAGGCAAGCATGTAATCGGTCTGTAGTTCTTTGGGTCCATGGTACTACCAGATTTGTAGAGCAAGGTGGTGACACCGGTAGTCATGAAGGCTGGAAGGGAACCGAGCTCGAGGGCTTCTTGGAATTGTTATTATTATTATTATTAATTATTAGTTAGGAAAAACCTAAAAGGTAATTATAAAGGGCACTTGAATGTCGACGTAACTAAACTTACGCTGTGGCGCCAAGGCGAACATCCCATTGTGGAAGATTCACGCATGCGCTGTAATACGCGTCCTGTCCTGACAGTGCTGGCAACCTACAAATACACGCTATGATCAAGGACATTTAATTAAAATCTCCTTGATCTTAGCTTATACGAGTATTAGCTGAGCCCGCGACTTCGTGCGCGTGAAAATAGTTATTTCCCGGTTTTCTTTACTGCTCCGCCCCTATTGACTGTAGGGTGATGTTATTATAGCCTTAGAGCGCTTTCACATTAGGCATCAGCGCGGCAGCGCGTCTGTCGCGCATTTGTCGCGCTGCTAAATCGCCTAAATCGCTTTAAAGCCTTCCTCGATAAATAGGCTATCCAACACAAAAATATATTTTTAAATCGAACCAGTAGTTCCTGATATTAGCGCGTTCAACCAGATAAATGAACAAACTTTTTAGCTTTATAATATTAGTATAGACGGTACTTAGAAAAAAAAAAGTTCTTTTTAAGCAGTTTTTAAATACACTCGACAGCAAATAAATCGCACCACCCGCGACAAGCATTTTCAAACGTATGCATCCCTACTTCCCACCAATATTGGCACCATTTAAAAGCCTAGTTCTAAACTTCATTTTATTATAGGAAAGGTTTTTACCCCAAAAATGTGTCTTTACAAGGATCCAGAGTCACTTCTTCAAAAAATAGGTAGTTACGCTATAGCCATTTTTTATGACTATAAAACTGTTAAGTTGGGATTAATCGCTATCCATCTGTTAAAGAGGACACGTGTGATCATTATTTGGTTTTATAACCATAAAATTTGGTCTAATTGATCCCAGAGGTGAGCCCAAAGTGAGGTCTTTTTTCAAGTCACATTTATGGTATATGTTAATCATTTATTTATATATGGTATATGTTAAGAAATTAAATGTGTTTTTCTTTAAGGATATTTATTGGGCTTTCAAATAACACCAATATTGTTGGGGCACCATTATTGTGTCAAAAGAAAATCTTTAAAGTTCGCGTCGCGGGTGGTGCGATTTATTTGCTGTCGAGTGTATAATCATGGTTTTGACTGAGACTAAGGCCCCAAACAGACGGTGAAACGCAACTGCAACGAAACTGCAACTTTCTGATGATTCTTATGAATGAAACTGAAACTGAAAGTTTCAAACTGGTCGCGTCATGTGTGGTCTCTCAACGGACGCTATGGCAGAAACTTAGATGTAACTCAAAAGTAACTAGCAGTTGCAGTTTCGTTACAGTTGCGTTTCACCGTCTGTTCTGGGCCTAACTAGTCCCATTGCCCTAGCGTCATAGTTGTGACTGAGACCTCAGGAGTCCCATTGCCCACAGGTGGGCGGCGACGAGACAGAAGCCGAGGCCGGGTCTCCGCCCACGCCGCCCGCGCCGCAGCCGCGTATGCCGCCTGCCACCGTGCAATGGCTGCTCGACCACTACGAGACTGCTGAAGGTACGAGATTACTGCTAAGCTTTCAGGATTATCGTCATCAGTAGGCCTAATGCCCGTTTTTACCATCAAACCCCATTTTTAAGTAACCCCTTTGAAAACAAAATTCATGTTATTTCCTACAGCTGTAGGAATTAAAATTCAGGTTGTATTTCTTCAGCTTTATTTGTATTTTCTCCAGGATAAAAACCACAAAAAATAGGAAAGTCTTAACCGTCTTAATACCAATCGTCTTCTGTTTGAAATCCCGTCGTTCTTACTTCCTCACTCATTTGTTCCCTCTCACTCACTCCCTTGCGTTCTGTTTCACACTCCCACACTCTAACTTAGAAATTAGGGATTGATAGTGAAAACGGGCATAAGATACGCGCCGTGATAACTTTTATCGACGTCAAAATATATGGGCAAAATCGATAAAATAGCGTGATAACCGTTTATCGCGGTGCGCATCTTAGGCCTACTGGTCATAGTTTCCACTGCAGAACGACCCTCTCTGATTGACTAGTGTTTGGAGATCTTAAGGGTCATCATCAAGGTTTTATAGACGCCACAACAGGATAACGACCGTCTCTGATTTACCAGAGGCAAATGGAGTGTTGGAGATCTTAGCTATGCGTGTGCCTCAAACATTTGGACTGCACTTCTGATGCCATTTATGCCACATCATTAAATAAAACTGAATATACTGTGTGTGTATATTTATTTAATCTGTTCCCCTTTTTATTATGTGTTAAGGTTTTATATTGTAAATGTGAACTTTTAGAACTTTAATGAGTCTTGAATATAATGGCATTTTTAGAACAGTAACACATCCCACGTAGAGCGACATATCGTCTAATTGGTCTCCTGGTGTTGTCCAGACGTAACTGTATTGTTGACGTACTATTTGACGCTTAGTGTAGTCTACCGGCCAACATATTGTACGTAGCGTATGGCGACATGTCATCACACTGAGAGTAGGCGCACACCGTTGATTTTTCGTCGGCCGATAGTTTAGTCGGGCTGTTGATCAGTATGGGCATGTATGGGAGTGCGCACACTACGCCGATTCGATTTGGCCGATTCTTCATAAAATTTGAAATCGGGCACAACTACCGGCCAACTAGAAATCAACGGTGTGCGCCTACTCTGATGTAGCTTAGGCTTCGCACTTAACAGTAATCTGATCGCAGGCGTGTCGCTCCCGCGTTCGACGCTCTACGCGCACTATCTTCGTCACTGCAGCGCGCACCGCTTGGAGCCCGTCAACGCGGCGTCGTTCGGCAAACTCATCCGCTCGGTGTTCCTCGGGCTGCGCACGCGCCGGCTCGGNCGCGCCGCCGCCGCCTGACGCTAACGAGGAGAAGAATGATGCTATTGATGCACTGGTCAGTGATACTGCTTACACAATTTATTTTCGTTCGTTCGTTCGTTCGTTCGTCTCATCCGCTCGGTGTTCCTCGGGCTGCGCACGCGCCGGCTCGGCACGCGCGGCAACTCCAAGTACCACTACTACGGCATACGCGCCAAGGCGGGCAATGACGCGCCGCCGCCGCCTGATGCTAATGAAGAGAAGAACGATGCTATCGATGCGCTGGTCAGTGATACCACTTACACAAATAAGGCTGAGTTGCACAAGCTAACTTTAATTAACTGTAACTATAACGGTACTTTTTGTATGAATTTTGACAGACTTTTGAAGATTGGTAAGGTTAAAGTAAGATGGTGCAACCCAGTTTTACTTTCTTTTGTTTGTTCGTTTCAGCCAAATGACGTCCACTGCTGCACAAAGAATCCTCAAGAATTCCATAACGATCGGTCCTGCGCTGCCCTCATCCTGATTCTTCCCGCGACCTTACAACTTACGTATACGATGATTCGCGAAGTCCATTTCTGGTGAAACATAAAACTCCCTGACGCGGACGTTGTCTCGGCCATCCGTTGCATTTTTGTTGAAGTTCGTTAGTTTTTCTGAACTTACTTTGCACTTAGCCTTCTGGTTGAACCGTTTGGCGTGATTTGTGGTTCTATTTCTGCTCCAATCAACCCAGATTGATCCAAAACGCGAGGAGCCTGTCCAAGTTTCTGCAGGATTCCGGCAGAATTTTGGACCGTAGATCTACCATATTCCTGCATTGACTTATGACTTCACGCAGTCTCTGCCACATGCTTGCCTTATGGCGTGAAACACTCGTACGACAGAGGCCCCTTAGGTTATCTAAGTTATGTGAAATTACAGGGGCAAAACGAGCAATGTCATCAAAACATTGTGTTGTTGTAGTATGTGTACGCGCCACCCTCACACTAAAATAAGCCTATATATTTGATGTTGCTGTGTAAATGAATACACAAATATACTCGCATCGCACAGTATAAACTGCTTTCATTGACAACTCCCGGTCCCCACATTACATGGCGACGCTGCCAGTGCTGCCTTAGGGCAGTGCTGTGCAATAATAGAATAAAATTAAATTGGTGTTAAATAAATAAGGTGACAGAACTTTGTAATATGGACTAAAATAAACAATTGGCGAAAAATAAAATCGTGATACAGGAGGTCCGCGAGCCCGAGCCGGAGCGCGAGGCGGTACACAGCCCGGCGGGCCTGGCCGGCCTGGCGCACCGGCAGTACCTGGGGCCCACGCCGGCGCCCGACCCGCCGGCCCTATCGCTGAGCGACCACCCGCCCGACGCCGGCGCCGCCGCCGTGCGCGCGCTGCGGGACCACCACAGGTGAGTTTTATCGAGGCATTTTATCGATTTTAGGCGATATGCCCTTTGTCTCCTAAGATTGACGATAAAAATGTATCGCGATACGCATTCTAGGCCGGTTGGTATCACTGACAATAGCACATCCATCGCAGAGCGCGAGCGTGGTAATAACAAAGCAAAAGCAGTTTGCGTCATATCATTTTTTTTTATATAATTAAAGATTATTAGTAATTTGTTATTACACAAATTACTAATACTCCCCCGCTAGCCCCTACTAAGCTAAATATGCTTGTGTCACGAGTGAGCTCACCACAATAGTCGAGCGGCGGCGGGGACCGAACCCGCGTTCCCCGGATCACGAGTCGGCCAGTCCGACCCCTTCACCGTTCGGCTATCGTGACTTTTTAATTAAATGATCTCTAAAAGTATTTCCACTATGACCAGTTCTGTGCTGTGGGTATCCAGGTGCTTTACACGATCTTTACTAGATCGTTGGCTCGCTACACTATATTTTCATGAGAATGTCTCCAACTTCCTCATTGGCTCTAGAGCAATTCCAAGTATACCATCAATAAAAGCCTAATTAGAGTCATCAAACCTCTCAGTCATTCAATTAGAGCCATTAGAACTTCATAACTATGAGTTGTTTTCTATGTGTAAGCTGAAGACACGTGTNGATGAGCCAGGGTCATCGCTGCAGCGGGCTGTGACGTCACGCACCTGCACGACGCTGCGGATGTGCGCGCGCGGGTGCACGGCGCGGATGACGCGCGTGAGGTGCCGCNAAAATTTCGTTACTTTACGATTGTTGGCACACCTGGTGTGACATTTGTCCGTCGTCGAGTAGACGAAGAATTTACCCCGGTGTGTAAGGTACCTACCGATAAACATGGCGGCGGCAGTGTGATGGTCTGGGGGTGCATGAGCGCCGCAGGAGTTGGGGAAATGTTTGTGTGTGAAGGACGCATGGACTCTAAAAAGTACATAAACGTTCTTGAATCCGCACTTCTGCCCTCGTTTACAACACTTTTTGGTGACATCAACATGGAAAGCGTCAAATTCCAGCAGGATAACGCACCTTGTCACAAACGATGGCTTGGTTTATTGACAATAATATCGAGCTGCTTGAATGGTCTGCCCAGTCACCAGACCTGAACCCCATCGAGCATTTGTGGGGTCTATTGAAGGACAAGGTCCGGCGCCATTGAATAAAAACAAAAGAAGACCTAAAACGTCGCTTGCGGGAAGAGTGGAACGCTTTAACATGTGACGATTGTAATAAATTAGTACAATCTTTACCAAAAATAACTTCTGCAGTAATTAAGGCAAAGGGTGGTCCAACAAAGTATTAATTTTTTGTTGTTAATAAACAATATAAAACTGTTAAAAACTGTTTTGATTCAGACACATGTATAATTCCTTCAAAATTAATAAATATCATGGGTGCTCAATACTTTTGGCCAAGGCTGTAGTTGACCGGGTTGCAGTTGCAGTTGTGGTATCAGACATTCATCGATCATTCGACAATACATTTCAAATACTTCTTATTGTTCAACTGCGAACGCTCTGTGGGCACCCGACCAGACTCATGGCGTATTTCAAATCCGCATTAGACTCTATTTTGAAACAATTAAACTTTGGTTTTAACCCTAACTGGGTCCACATTGTATAACTGCCTAAATTGTAAGACCTATAAAAATGTGAATGCTAATGTGGTTATGCAATAAAAGTATTGAGTATTGAGTATTTGTATTCAATTTTGAACTTGGAAAATTCTCGCTGGACACTCTTTACAACGTAACCTCACTTCACAACTTCAAAAGAGTGTGACAATACCGCGTCCGTTCTAGTCTGATTGGAACCATGAGTGCACCAGATTCACTCCCGAAGATATCGGAACGATAAACGTCACCATCTTATTCACGTATTTTTGATATTCGGTTTGGCCGAAGCTTCGGCTGGTTTTTGGCCGAAAACGAAAATATGGCCGAATGTCCATTTTTTGGCCGAAAATGGCCGAAAACGAAAACGAATATTCGGTCGGTCACTACTTATAATCCATTATTCCTCTTATACTTGTACTATTTCGCAGCTGTCTATTTATCTGACAGAATTTCCTCCCTGCTTGGAATGAGACTCTCATAGGGATAGCCACTCATAACCCACTCCCTTTTCTCCTTTATACCCTTTTCTATCCACTCACCTGGTAGAATATCCTGAGCTTAACAGCGGGCGCGGGCTCGTCGTCCCGGCAGTCGCTGAGCAGCTTAGAAGCATACTCAAGTACGCGCGTAAGCTCTTCTAACGGCATCGCCGCCGCCGAAGAGGATTACCTCGTAAGTCTCCTTGCGAAGTCCTCTCAGCAGTGCATTGAAGCATTGGGTCCTTCCTGTATCCTCTACGGCTACGGTTACTATTGGAATAGCACTTGCTAGAAAGAGACAAGAGGAAGTCCTCTCTGTAGCTCTCTCGCTCCCTCATAGCCCATTGTTCCCCGATGTTCTATTTTTCACGTGCGTTCACCTGGTAGAATCTACTCTGCTTGGGTGAGACTAGGAAGGGCCCCTCATAACCCATTGTCTCCCTTTCCCCCATTTCTCAGACACTCACCTGGTAGAATATCCTCAGCTTAACAGTGCGACGCACAAGCCTCTGTGCTTGAGAACGACAGCTGGCACGTGGATGGGGATTACCTTGAATGCTTCCAGCAGGCTCTGCTGGTTGTTGCTAGAATGAGACTAGGGCTACCCTTTTATGACCCATTGTCCTCCCTCCTACTTGTACAATTTCGCAGCCGTCTATTTATCTGGCAAAATTTTCTCCCTGCGTGGAATGAGACTAGGAGTAGCCACTCATAAGCCACTCTCTTTTCTCCTTCATACCCTTTTCCAGCCACTCACCTGGTAGAATATCTTCAGCTTAACAGCGCGCGGGGAACGACAGCTGACACGTGGAAGAGGATTACCTCGTAAGTCTCCTTGCAAAGTCCTCTCAGCAGTGCATTGAAGCATTGGGTCCTTCCTGTATCCTCTACGGCTACGGTTACTATTGGAATAGCACTTGCTAGAAAGAGACAAGAGGAAGTCCTCTCTGTAGGTCTCTCGCTCCCTCATAGCCCATTGTTCCCCGTTGTTCTATTTTTCACGTGCGTTCACCTGGTAGAATCTACTCTGCTTGGGTGAGACTAGGAGTAGCAACTCATAACCCACTCTCTTTTCTCTTTTTTCCTTCGCGACGCACAAGCCTCTGAGCTTGGGAACGACAGCTGACACGTGGATGGGGATTACCTTGAATGCTTCCAGCAGGCTCTGCTGGTTGTTGCTATAGCCTGGTCCGTGAGCACGTAGAATCCCGTCCAATGACCCCAAGCTACCTATCCTTATCGCTCGCGTATAATGATATTGCTGTCGCGACCATGCGACGCGCGCCCGCAGTGAGTGTGCGAGCGCGACAGCAACATAATTACGTGCGAGCGACAAGGATGGGCAGATACGATGACCCTTTCCCAGCCACTCACCTGGTAGAATATCCTGAGCTTGACAGCGGGCGCGGGCTCGTCGTCCCGGCAGTCGCTGAGCAGCTTGCGCAGCGCATACTCAAGTACGCGCGTCAGCTCTTCTAGTGGCATCGCCGCCGCCAACGCACGGTGCGATGCACAAGCCTCTGAACTCGGGAACGATAGCTGGCACGTGGATGGGGATGAACCTGATGGATAAATATGTTCGTCACCTTAGTGTCGGTTTTCGCTTGCACTAGGTACTGTAAGAGTCAAACCTGCTAACATAACCGTGCAAGAAACATTGCTGCTAACATTTAAATAAATATGACGTTTGCTAACGAATAAGGTTTTGCTTGTTTATTTTTCTATCCCATCAGTGCAATGTTACAAAATGTAGTATTTTTTTAATAGATAATGGCAGGTTGAACTAACAAGGTTAGTTTATCAATCATAATAATCTTCTTGACAAGTGTTAAATCGTCAAACAACTTTGATCTGAATAATTTTGAACTTTACTGACGAACAGTTAAAGATTATTTTCTCTAACTCGAGATTATTCTGTAACATAGTTTCAAAAGGTAATATGTGCTCGCGATTCGTTGAAGGAATCAATTTGAAAACTGACGAACCTTTTCATTCCGTGACTGTACATTGCTTTCTTCATCGAGAATAAAAGGATGAGGCAACTTTTTCCAAATTTGCCTCTAAGTAGACCAGTGGTTCTTAACCGGTGGTCCGGGGACCACTGGTGGCCCCTGGAGACCTTCCAAGTGGTTCACGAATTGCACTTGTACACTTTGGTTAAACCACTTTTAACTGATTTTTGCAGTCAAACTGGTTTTGACCGATTATGAGGCGTTCCCTGACAAAACAGAAATTTGGTAAAATGGTCCCTCATGACTTAAAGGTTAAGAACCACTAAAGTAGACTATAACATGTTGGGAATAATTACCAGTCGCAACGTAACAGACGATCGCCGCGACCGTGTTTTCATAGTTCCATCTTCTTGTAATGGCCACTTTGTATTCACCCACGCTGCAACCAGTTTCTTCGTCTGAAACAAACGATCGGAGAATGCAATTCGTTTTTAATCTACTACGTTAATTCCGGTGAATCTGTCAGATTGACAGAACTTTACATTTAGGGCTTCCCCACACTATTATCTATAGAATGTCGTTGTCTTGACAGCGCTTATACAGCGTCAAATGCGCCGCGACGCCAATGCTGAACGGAGTGATCATCCTGGCAACGCGACGACACTTGAGAGACTAGTAGACGCCAGTGTGGGGTCCCTTAGTGTGCGTCTATAGTAGTCCACACTGAATGCGCGGTGACTGGAGTCTGAGGCGGGCGCGGCGAGCAGCAGCGTGCGTTGAACACTGACGCGTGAGCTTTTTGTAGCGGTTCGACGTATATCAGGTGTTGCAAACTATGGACGAGGATTTCCTATTTTTACTAGATAGTCTGATCCTGAGATGGGAGGTGTTGAATATTAGAGATGGTGTGCACTAAATAATCTTTAAATTCGCCTAGCCCGCGCTTACTAAAGACAGTTGAAGCTGTTATTGCGCGGTACTCACAGTCGAAGCGGTTGTTGTCGGTGTGCGCCCAGGCGTGCCACTCGAGCGCGGCGCGGCGCGGCAGGGCTGCCACCACGGCGCACTGCACGATGGCGCCGGCCGTGCGCCGCTCCAGCTGCCGCCGCGCCTCGCCCACCGCGCGCGCCCAGCCCGCGCTCACGTAGCACACGCTCTGAGGGATAGCAAATTAAATTAACGTAGGGACAATAACCTGGAGCGAGATCAAGCGAGAAGCTCAAGACCTAACGAGATGGAGGACTGTTGTGGACGCCCTCTGCCCCATCTAGGGGACATAGGACCATAAGTCAAGTAAGTCAGGGACAATAACATATCAAATAGACTAACCCATAACACAAGCATATTAATTGCTTACTTTGGGGCTAAATGGCGCTGTGTGAGATTGTCCAAAGATATTTATTAAAAAAAAAAAAAAACTCCTTTGTGGCATCTCAACTGTTTGTGTCAGATTGGGCTATGGTAACCGTTTTTTTTTTAGTAAATGAAACAATTTGTAGTAAGTAAGCAGGTACCTACTTATAAGATAAGTCATGTTTAAATCAAAATTCTACTATTATTGATATGATTAAATGTTTTTTTTGTGTGCATGGAACGGTTCGGAACAAACTGAATTGAATCTATATTGCATGTTGTGTCAGCCTATAATTGTTGTTGCATTGTAACTTTGTTCATAATTGTTATTTTTAAGTGTACATGTTGTAATGTAACTATGTTGGTAGACCTAATAAATAAATAAATAAATCAAGCTATAAGGTCGCCCACACTAGCGTCTTCCGAGCGTCGTCGTCGTGCAGCGCCCGCGATGCGTCAACGCGGCACTGACTCAGCGTTGCAGCAACGCTAATGCTGAGTGACTGCCAAACGTATCTATCGTACGGTAGTGCTTGCGTGTCGCGTCGACGCTGCGCAGGCGTTGGCAAGACGACGACGCTCGAGAGACACTACGACGACAAGTTGCTAGTGTGGTAAAGGCCAAACACAGTGGAGTCGGCGTCGACGTCTTCATAGCTTGCTAATGTAACGACTTCCATGACGTAGCTTGTGGCGTGGTTCATTGACCTCCACCAGCCTGTGACGTCACGCACCTGCACGACGCTGCGGATGACGCGCGTGAGGTGCCGCAGCGCGAGCGCGCACTGATGTAACGACTTCCATGACGCAACCCATGAGCCAGGGTCATTGACCTCCACAAGCTGGTATCCCAATCTAGTCGCAACAGAGGCGAACTTCAACCGGCTCAAGGCGTTTGCGTACAAGTAGCACGAGAAACGAACAGCCCCGATCAGTTCGGCGCCATAGGGTGCCTACCACCTGTTGTTGTGCTAGTAGCAGCCCCAGAACGGGGAGAGTAGCTCATAGGGACAAGGAATAGAACAAAGAACTTGTAGGGAGTCAAGCATTGCGCGCGGCAGAGTGCATCCTGCCACGACGTACGCAGGAAGGTTGGAATGGCCATGGGTGGTGGTGGGTTGACCTCCACCAGGCTCGTGGCTGTGACGTCACGCACCTGCACGACGCTGCGGATGTGCGCGCGCGGGTGCACGGCGCGGATGACGCGCGTGAGGTGCCGCAGCGCGAGCGCGCACTGATGTAACGACTTCCATGACGCACCCGATGAGCCAGGGTCATCGACCTGCAGCGGGCTGTGACGTCACGCACCTGCACGACGCTGCGGATGTGCGCGCGCGCACTGATGTAACGACTTCCATGACATTGTGACGCGGCCCGCGACGCATCGACAGCTCTAGCACCAAACGCGGAGATTTGACAAGCCTACGGTTGCGCGGCCGCACGCCGCAGAGCCGTGAATGGGACCGCGCTTATTTAAGAGGCGGCGGCGACCGCGGGCAGCTAGCATTCGCTCGGGAGCCATCGCAACAGCCAGACGTTCGCGCGCGCGTCTATACTGTTCCCTCGGCTGAATTGCGCAGAGTCCCTAGCGAATTGCTGTCCACATTGTAATACAGCGGGGTGTCAGACTGAGCTAGCTAGGACGCCCCGTTGCAACATATACCCTGTGGACCAGCCTGTGACCTGTGACGTCACGCACCTGCACGACGCTGCGGATGTGCGCGCGCGGGTGCACGGCGCGGATGACGCGCGTGAGGTGCCGCAGCGCGAGCGCGCACTGATGTAACGACTTCCATGACGCAACCCATGAGCCAGGGTCATCGACCTGCAGCGGGCTGTGACGTCACGCACCTGCACGACGCTGCGGATGTGCGCGCGCGGGTGCACGGCGCGGATGACGCGCGTGAGGTGCCGCAGCGCGAGCGCGCACTGATGTAACGACTTCCATGACGCAACCCATGAGCCAGGGTCATCGACCTGCAGCGGGCTGTGACGTCACGCACCTGCACGACGCTGCGGATGTGCGCGCGCGGGTGCACGGCGCGGATGACGCGCGTGAGGTGCCGCAGCGCGAGCGCGCACTGATGTAACGACTTCCATGACGCAACCCATGAGCCAGGGTCATCGACCTGCAGCGGGCTGTGACGTCACGCACCTGCACGACGCTGCGGATGTGCGCGCGCGGGTGCACGGCGCGGATGACGCGCGTGAGGTGCCGCAGCGCGAGCGCGCACTGATGTAACGACTTCCATGACGCAACCCATGAGCCAGGGTCATCGACCTGCAGCGGGCTGTGACGTCACGCACCTGCACGACGCTGCGGATGTGCGCGCGCGGGTGCACGGCGCGGATGACGCGCGTGAGGTGCCGCAGCGCGAGCGCGCACTGATGTAACGACTTCCATGACGCAACCCATGAGCCAGGGTCATCGACCTGCAGCGGGCTGTGACGTCACGCACCTGCACGACGCTGCGGATGTGCGCGCGCGGGTGCACGGCGCGGATGACGCGCGTGAGGTGCCGCAGCGCGAGCGCGCACTGCCGCCGTGCTCCGCCCTCGACTAGTTGCATTGTGCCTGGTACCAGCGCGATCTGCCCGCACGTGCTGATCACCTCGCCTAACTGGGGAAAATATTTGGATTATTAGACCGCTTTTTCACAAGAAATGTGCCATGAAAATAAGCGAGAACGCTTAGGGCCCTACACTAGCATCTTTCCAGCATCGTCGTCTTGTCAGCGCCTGCGCAGCGTCGAAGGAACGCTAAGAAACGCTGGTGACGCGTCTGCACAACGCCAAAGCAACATTTTTTTCGGACTAGTAATGCAACCTCCTTATTCCGCTGTACTCAGCATTAGCGTCGATGCTGCGCAGGCGCTAACGAAACAACAGCATTCGAAAGACGCTAGTGTCGGGGACTAGGCCATAGCAAAACTGTGAAACATTGTATTTCTACCAGATGTGTGAGCAAGCTAAGCGGTGCTGAGATGCGCAAAGTAGCTGCAAAACGATGACCAGCATGAGGATGCGTTGCCTGATTTCAAATACGCACGCTATCTGTTGCTGCAATTGATACCTTAATAGCCTGGCTATAAGGGCCGATGTTAGCCGGCGCCCATTTGGTGATGCGCTCCTTCGGGCTCGAGCTGTCGCTATCGTCCATGAATGGGACGGGCTAATGAGCCGATATCGTCATTCGTCATGCAAATATCGGGACTATTTCCACCTCTCGTTCCCACCACTGCAACTCCTGTGTAGCCAGGATCTACAGCTTGACCGCCACAAAAACCCAACCAATGAAGGTCAAGTTTGTCCCGGGGGAAAGTTAAACTGTCATTGGACCCGCAACGAAATTAATCAGAAGAACATAGGAGTTCGAAATTAAGGTTCGACTTCCCTCCATTGCAAAGCGGATGACAGGTGACAAACAAAGGTTTTAAACCTTTAAGAAAAGATTATTCGTCATGCAAATAGTTACCTTAATAGCTTGACTATAAGGCCCGATGTTGGCCGGAGCCCAGTGCGAGATGCCCTGCACGTGCATAGTGATGCGCTCCTTCGGGATCGAGCTATCACTATCGTCCTTGGCCGGGACCGGCTTGTGCGCCACCTGGGGTGAATGATCACTAGTAGCAATAATAAAAGGCATTGTTCTGTCACTGTTGGGCTGTGACACACATTTTATTGATTTTATTGTGACTGGGAATATAATAGTCGTCGTATTTTTAATCTTACTGACTTGTCTTGAAGTGTAGGTGGAAAGTACACTTAAGTACCTAAGCGCTGGACGCAGACCGCTACCAATCGATCAACATGGAAAGCATTGGGGGAGGCCTATGTTCAGCAGTGGACGTCCTATGGCTGAAATGATGATGATTATGAAGCACTAAGGACCGGTCGTTATGGAAATCCTCAAGGGAGGCTTTTGTCCAGCTGTCATTTAAAATAGTTTAGGCGTAGAATGCCAGAAACTCAAAATTACATAAAACTGAATTGTAAGCATATACTAGTCGAATTTAATACCTATCAGTAGTTCTTAAGCGTACTTATTATATTATCCCACTAAATGTAATTGTATAAACCTTTAGTCTTCTTAGAACCGTTAAAACCACAGGGCGTATTCAAAACGCGCAGACGACGCGCTTTCCTACAAAAATATTTATAGACTGGGTCCAAATATACTCTAATATAAATAAATATGCTCTTAATATAAATAAACAATCACATCTACAGAAAAGTTTAGTAACTTACAGCGTCCAATATAAGTCCGACGTCGTCCATCAGAGGGCACTGAACACATACCCTCGTAGGAGGGTTGGGGAAACAAAAATGGCTCGCGTACACGTCATTCAGCTCCGTATATTCTTCCATGTCGCGCATGTAGATGTTGACTGACGTCACGTCCGTCAGCTGCATGCTTTCCGACTCAAGCAGGCCTACAAACAAGTTAATAAGTAAACTAACACTTCGTACTTGTTTTCACTTAACTTTAGAAAAAGCATGGCATAATTTCATGCAATCTATTTCACCAAACAATCCAAAAATTAACCTTATGTTTCAAAGATGACCATTATCGAGTCTAGTCTACCAAGCGATTTTCAGCCCACCGTGAGTCGTTGACCGAATCGTTAGCATGCAGGCTTCATGTGCATGAAAAATGCTCAAATAGATTGTCAGATAGTTATAAAACTGTCAGTCACAAAGCAAGCGACAAATCGTCAAAATTTTTGACTTTTTAAAGAATTTTAGTAATTTGCATTTATCTATTATATAAAAGAAAGTCGTGTTAGTTACTCCACTTATAAGTCAAGAACGGCTGGACCGATTTAGCTGAAAATTGTCAGGGAGGTAGTTTAGAGCCAGGAGAAGGACATAGGATACTTTTTATCCCGTTATTTATTGCCATTAAGGCGGAACAAAGTTCGCCGGGTCAGCTAGTTTTAGTAATAATTACTTGTACTTAATTATTCACCCTTGCGGTAAGCTAAAACCAGCAAGGCGTACTCTATAGGGTAAATCATTGCTATCAATAGTTTTTATCACGTGAACCATAACAAAAAAAGAGAAAATAATAATTATCGTCATAACAAAAATCAATTTATACAAGGTATCAATGATTGTTTTGCATAAATAATTTTATGTAGGGGGCAGTGAACGCATATCTTATAAAACATTATATTAAGAAATCATTTTTATACATTGTAGGAGGTGATAAGGCGCTTAGTAACCCCACCACACGCGGGTTGACACGATTTTCGCACGCGATATTATAATGTTAGATAATAAAGATTATCTAGTGGCTCTTTTCTTGGACATAATATCACCTTTTCTCACGAATGTGGATAGAGATATTAAATAGGTTTCTTCTTATTGTTTGGAAGGGAAGATAAAAGAAAGCCCTAGTAATAAAGTAACACGAACCTCCGTAACTATTCATAAATTATAGTAGGATTACTACATCTTGGTATTCGAATTCAGTATGTTCATTGTCATTTGTCATTACAAACAATCTTTAGATTCAATACTTTAATGCAACTACAAATCTACACAAGGCAAACAGTATGACAGGAAGGAGGCTTACAATGTGTGCCTCACTGATAAGTCTACACGAGTGTGTATTTTTTAGGATTTATTTAAGATTTACTGTGAACATCCGGTATTTACTCTTGAGATTTGTACTCTTGAGAAGTCGCAGCGAAATTAATCAGAATAAAGTAGAAGAGATAGTTACATAATAAAATTAAGTGATACATACCTACACAGTGATTATATTAATTACTGGCGATTAAAATAAACATCTCGAAATCCGGACCTTAATGACTTGAACCTATATCAATAAACAAACAATGAAGCAAACTAATTATCTTAACGTATGAAGCTAATATTTGTGGCATCTTAAGTCGTTGGAATAGGTGCTATTTTACAATAAAAATCATAGTCTTAAGTGCTGTAAATTATTATGTTCCTACGTCACTAGTATCGGCGGTCGAAGGTCAAATAGGAATACGTCAAATACGGTGTAGCTTATCTGAAGTTTATCTATTTTTATGTTGCAACTGACATCTGGCATTGTATATTTTATGAAGAGTCTATTTTATCCATTTAGTTTTTGTTTGTAATAAACAGATACAAGCAAAATACACTTCTCTTAAGACTGTTTTCAACACATTTCAATATCTAATAATAATTTTAAAAGTTAGACAACAAATTATAATTTTTATTTTCTACACGATTGTCCTGCTGGGCAGTTTACAAAATGTACAATTTGTAACTCTATCTGCGGCACTCGTCACATGATCACACCCAAACAAGGTGATTATCGGCCTAAAACATTATCGCGGCAGACGAAAAGGTCAAAATGATGTGAAACATAATACATATTTTATCAACCGATTAAGACTTTCAATATTACGTCGAGATAAGAAGCTAATACTTTTATCTTCGCTTTTATAAAGCTGTCTATAGGCATAGATGGGTCAATTAAAATTGTAAACTAAGATAGTAATTAATATGTTGTAGCTATCTAGAATAAACGGTTTTGTAGTTACATAATGAAGTAATCGAGAAAGTTTACTCGGCAATGATAAAAATAAACCGGGACGCATAAATGGTCGCGTAAACAAATAATAGTTGTCAACATTATTGGGTAGGCCCCTCTTTCCTATTGGTCACTTAGGGCATATGCCCAGGGCCCCGCGACCTAGGGGGCCCCCATCTGCTCGAAAGACCTTTTACCAGATGACAAGGGGGGCCCTTGATCCTTAAGTGCCCAGAGCCCTAGTAGGTTAAAGACGGTCCTGTATTGGGACAATAATTCAAGGAAACATCGATAGTTAGTAGACATTTGGTTAGGAAATAATGATAGCACCACAAACCATAGACAAAAAATATCAAATAAAGCGTCAGCACGTCATTAAAATTAAGCATGCAACTAAAACTAACAAAAGAAAGCCTGGAAAAAGTTTACCTACTAATGAGTTTCTTCATAGCGTCCTCCGTCGCCTGCCTCGTATCGACTCCCTCGCCAACTATCCCGCCTATAAAATACCAGCCGTGTCTATTCCCGTATATACTTCTATGGTCCGCAATCGGCTGTTTCTCGAACTGACTATCGAACTCCTCGTAACAATACCCATCTTCTATACTATCAGCGCTATCGTTTTGGCTGTCCGCTCCATCTAAGTCAGACTTTTCATTGTACGTGAGCAAAGGGTTCAGTTCTGTCTGTTTTTTCTTCTCCTCTTTTTCTAACTTCTCGATGGACTCTATCTCTGTCTCGCTCAGTTCTATGTCGCTGATGTCGCTGAAGACGGTGTCGCTTAGGTCGCTTACGAAGTCTAGTGCGCTTTTGACGGTAGGGGGCAGTTTGATGCCGTCCTCGGCGCCTCGCTTGGCTTCTAAGTGCAGCTTGAGGTTTAGGTATCCGACTGGTGCGACCGGGTCGTCCGTGTGTATCACTAATTCTTTATCATCACTAAAAAGGAAAAGGTATCGGTTAGTTTCTTATTTATTACACTTAAATGGGTGTCTTTTATAAGTATACCCACAGTTTTCACAGTAATTTTCCAATGTGATGATACATTTGGATTAAGGTAGGGTTTTATTTAATCGTAAATCAATTGAATTCGTATTCACCCTATTATGTAAATAAAATTGATGCTGATAATAAAAGTGTAATCAGATTTAAACTTGAATGATTATAATGTCGAATTACATCGTTAAAAGTGTTTTGTCTCAGTAATTAGCGGGAAGTTGAAAGATTTTAAGTTAGGCCACGCCCTTCTGCTGTCAAGTGACGTAACAGGAATCTCGCGTCACACCGTAACAAAAACACACCCTTTACTATTTCACAGAAATTTACTCAGTTATGAGCTGCAGCTGATAGGTAAACAGGTGATTACATTATCTAATGAGAGGGTAAAAGGTGAAATTAAAGCATTTCTCAGACAAGATAAAAAGCAGAATAAAACTACTTACAGAACTAATCGTTTCCTAAACAGTGGAGTTGAAATGTCGCGTGACGTCAGTTTAGAGTAAAAAATCTACTCAAAAAAAAAATCTACTCAAAAAAAAAATCAACTCAATAATAATACTGTAATGATTCGATTATGAAAAAAAAAATGTGGCCAACTTTTTTTTATTATCTGTCTGACGGACTAAATAGAATTTCGATTTCATTACCCAGTCATCATCCCAATTCTTAAAATCAGAGAGGTCCGCCTGGCTAGCTACCACCATCTTACCTAAGTCTGTGTCGCCATAACAACAATGTTAACAGCATTGTTGTGTTCCGGCAGTTAGAGGTAAGATAGCCAGTTCCTCCGTGGTTGAGGATTCCGGGTGAAGCTCGCTTCCACCTTCGGCCTGATCGTCACTTACCATCAGGTGAGATACGGGCCAAGAGCTTCCTCGTTGTGGATGAAAAAAAATCTTGAAATTAAAGAGAGGGTACTCACATAACTAACCGCTTCCTGAACAACGGGCAGTCGAGCGTGAAGGTCTCGTACTCGCCGCCCTCGCCGCACACGTTGAGGCCGTACTTCTCCTGCATGACTAGAAGGTGCGGCTGAAGCTCGCGGATCGACATGCCCAGGTGCACCCGCGGGTCCAGGCCTAGCGCGGCCACCTGGGAACAACCAGTAGCTGAGGGAATCCCATTTTTACAGACAGCGAAGCAATTTTGGAAATATATTACGACGCTTCCGAAATCCCATCTTTATTGACAAAAAAATCCAAAAATCCAGCGGATCGACAAACCATCTGGGTTTTTCTATCGCGGTCACATGGACTGAAACAACACAGCGGTAGTGTAGGCTGCCGGAAAATTGGCTTCATCGATGTTGGGGAAACGCCGCCTATTTTGAAATTATTTATGGCGCTAATCGTTTGACCATTTTCAACCGAATTTGTGTTGAATGTTGATGTTTCTCATCAACTGTGACTTACAATACAATTCAGAACATAAGAAAAATAAGTACTTCAAAATGGTTTTCATTTAATGTTTCCAATAACAGTATGTATGATAATGGATGCATATGAATAACATGAAAGACAAAAATCGCACAATGTCACTAGATCGTTTACGAATGTAAAACTTGTTACGTTACGTGCCGCTACTACGTTCACATTATGTTAAGGAGCGTCCACACCGGGCACTTGGGCTCACGAGTTCACGAGACACGTTTGTCATTCTGCTTACCCTGCTCTTGAGTGAACACAGTGTGGACGCACCTTAAAACGATTTTATCTGTATCTTACGATGAGAAGGAGATTTTTAAGCAACAGTTACCTTTATAATGATAGCCTCCACGCCACTTGCTATCATCTCCTGCAGCAATTCCTTTTGGTTCCTCCGCCACAAGTACGCCAACGACACTAAACCTAATCTACGACACCTGAAAATGGAAATCAAAAGTAAAACATTTTCAAAAGGACAAAAAACAATCGTAATTTATTAAATGAATTGAGAAAGTTAACTGTTAGTGGCCTTTACTACGTTTATTTTAAGAACCAATCATATTTCAGCGTCATGTGAACTCATGTGAAGGAAATTCATTATGTAGTGTTTATGCACAATTTATTCCCACGCATCAATTATTTGTTTGATCGATAATGGCAGTTATTGTTTTGTTATATCCATACACGCTTAGGTTAAGAGTATTGATAGGAAACTTTAAAAACATAAGTAATCCCATAGATAGAAAATAAAACTACATATTAATCAATTAAATATTAAAGGTCACGAAAATAGACAACATGATTAAATTAAAAACATGTTTTTAACTTATGATCTTAATTAAGATTCTTAAAGATCATAATAGGGGCCGTTCAAGTATTACGTAAGCACCAAGGGGGGGTGGGGGGGTCTCTGTTTTGCTTATTTTGATGACATGGGGGGGTAGGGGGGTCTAGATGATGATTACGTCATTGTTTGTTATTTACGTTTTTTCGGGGATTCCCGCAAATAATACATATGCGTAGGCACTCGCTTTGAGAACTGATTAGGGGAATTACCGCACATTAGGGAAAATACCGTGCGCTATTCACTTGTCTAATAATTAACTCTCGTGCCGACATTGCCCATTGAAATTTGAGAGTCTTAGTCCGCATAAAATATTATTATACGCGAGGCCGGACTCCCGCGCGCGTGGTTTGTTTGGATACTAAACATATTGTAAGCATTGAAAGTTATAATTTGTGTTTATGTTGATGCGTAATTGATGCATTTTTTGTTCCTACTTTATGTGTATCAGTTAAACCTAATATTTTCATGAATTTTCCTATTTTAAAAATGACAATATAAAAAACATTTATAACAAAATGTTTACGTAAGCATAGGGGGAGGGGGTAAGTGCTTTGCTTACTTTTGATGACAAGGGGGGCGGGGGGGGTAAAAAATGGTAAGAAATCTGCTTACGTAATACTTGAACGGCCCCATAGCAGTTAGCAATCGCGTCGAAAATAAACTGCTATCGGTATCATGATATTTACGTCGTGCTATCGTGCGTTTTGCGCGTAACCTGGCTGACCTCACGTGCCTCCCCGAGTCTAGAACCCGGAAACTTTTACCTCTCTTCTTGTGTCAAATAAAGTTTTACCTCACGTGCCTCCCCGAGTCTAGAACCCGGAAACTTTTACCTCTCTTTTTGTGTCAAATAAAGTTTTTCTTATCTTATCTTTCTCTTATGAGTGGAAACTGTGGGTGCTAATTTTACACATAAGCAACATGAGGCTATTCTAATACAGTGTTCCGAAAATTTTTTGTGTTCAAGGTACTATCGGGGACTCTTCCGCCTGACCACTTTGTAGAAATTTTAGCGTAAGCGCATCGCTCCGNCACGGTCCACAGATATCTTGGCCAATGGCCTACGCAAGTGTGGGTGAAGTCTGTCTAGAAGTTGCAATCATGATAGTAGGCCGTGCTATCGCAGACATGCGTGCGTGATGGTACCCTTAACGACCGATTATCTTCGAGTTCATTGATAACAAATATTTTTCCTGAATGGAAAAGAAATATTTATTTAACAAACTCTCTCATTAAACAAACCATACTGTGGGGAAAGTTACTCTTATTTACTAGACTATGTTTATTGTAATAAGGTCTTTTCTTAGCCAGTTCTCAACTGAAGACATGCTACATTGATTTTAAGTAGTTTTTTTTTATGCTAGACAAGGCAGGTATTTGACCGCAATCGCACCTGGTGTTAAGTGAGATGCGGTCTTGGATGGTACATATCTGCCCTGTAAGTGCCTATTCACTCTCGCCTTGAAAACGCCCGGACGGATTATAGTGTTCAGGAAACACAGCAGCAGGCAGCGAATTCCAGTCCCTAGCTGTTCGCATTATAAACGAGTCGTCGAAACGCTTAGTGCGAGCTGGTTGTTATACTTACACATTTTCCACTCTAATTCTTTGGTAATCTGACAATATCGCGCCGACAGCCACCGCTTCTATGTCTATATCGTCCTAAAACAATAAAACATCATCAAGACAACAAATGATTTCTTCACATTCAGTGACAAGTAGCATGTGTGTTATGACTTATCATGCTTCAAACCACAATTTCTTCAGATTATGGAAATGCTGAACACTGTTCTTAGAGGTCATTGACAGACATGCTTCACAAATAAATGAAATCATTTTTAGACATCCTCTAATAACTTTTTGCCATAAACAGCATGCATCTATTTATTGTTATTTTGAACAAAAAGGCAAGGCTAAGTTTCAAAATTTCAAAATTGAAAATAAAGCAGTCTATTTCCACTGCTTATTTATGGGTTATACAGATAATATCCGGAAATGTATAGTGAACAAGTATATGCCCTATTACTTCAGTGATAAGGCTAAGATAGTTGTCAAATGATAAGATGTGCTAGTTCCTCCCAGCTATGGACAGAGTGTAGTAAATATTGATTTAATAACAAATACATACAAGAGTCAATGATTCTGCTTCAATGTCACATTGTGGTTTGCTTGATGAATATAATGTTACATGTGTGTTAATATGTATGTACATATTGTTGAAGATTATAAAGTGATGGCACCTAATGATGTGCTAATTTGCATAATTACTCATTTTCCTATTGCTTTAGTACATGAACTAGTTACTAGGTACTACATTTACTTTTTAAAGTGAAATGTTTGAGAGACAGTGTTTGAAATCTATTTTGTAATTTAAATTAATTGAATCTTCTCGCAATAAAGAAACACTTATCATTTCTAAGTTTATCTTAATAAACAAATTAATATTTGCTTTAGAATGAAGATTATTTATTTATACTGATATACTGCAATGCAACATTGTTAGCATTTGGACATAAACATACAAATAAAGTACATAGAAACATTTATCAGTATAGGCTCAGAGGACAAAAAAGTTAGGCCAGGAGTGGCAAATTTTTGTGATTTATTTGCTTAGGTAAAAGAGATTTATTGTCCACCATTATCTATTTTTTTTATTATTTCTTGAATTATTCATTCATTAATATGTAAAAACAAAACTAATGTAATGAATAAGTCTCAAAAATAGAGACTTTTTGTTAGTATTGCTGGTTTTTTAAATTCTTCATACCTTGACCCTGGACAGAAGTCTGTACAAGTCTTCAACCTCATCATTGGCAGTGGGCTCGTAGTTGCGCCCTTGGTCCACGGCAGCCCCAGTGATGACCTCCCGGTACAGCGGCAGGCCCATGGCTTCAGCGTACAGTTCGATGCCCTGGTGGCCCACTGTCTGGTACATGTAGCTGTCCAGCTCATCTACAATGTGAATATATCTTTAGGAGTACATATTCTACAGGGTGATAAATTTCTGACTTCACCATACCATTTATATGACCATGTTAACATGGGCTAGTGTCGGCTCATATATCCATTTACCTAACACTCTGTATAGTCCGAGTCAAAAATATATTGTTTTATGAATGAAGACACTTAATAAATAGCACATTTTTTATATACTTGAGAAATTAACAAAAACTGTGATCATAAAATGGGTAGATGGTAATTTTTAATTATCATTGAACAGCCAGATTCTTTACTGAATAGTTAAGAAAAACTAATATTTATTTTTAAAGGTGTCAACAGAAAGTCCATCAGTCATCACCACCAAACTCTCTACATATTTTACGACAAGATGTCGCACCAATTTAGGCCTTTCCATCGGAGGAATAAATGTCGAATTTGCTTGAAGGGACAAAAGTAACCTTTCAGTATTGGTTGGAGGTTGGCCAGGGCCACGATCGTGTGCCCGGCCCCGACGCACTGCATCATGTTGTAGCAGCTGTCTTTGCCGCCGCTGATCAACGCTACGGTCCTCATTTTGCCCACGGTGCAGTAACACTCTCCACAACAGGATATTCCTTACATAACCAAATTATAAAAGCCAAAAAGTAGCAAAATAATAGTCACAACGCGGTTCCGATCACGGCAACGACATATCTATGAAAAACTTGTTTTGCGCGCTCCCGACTGTAACGTCTTTACCGTACGGATACGATATTATTGTAATGAAGCATAATGGTTATCTATTTTGATAACATTCTTGAAATAAAGAGAAAATACGTCCCCAAAAATCAGAGCAGCCCAGCTGTCAACTGTCAACTGTCACGATAACACAGTGTCTCACGACACAAAACCACAGATATGGATTAGAGTAGATCACAGATATGGATTAGAGTAGATACAGCAAGTTGCTAGTCAAAGCGTGCCATTCCGATATGTCCAAATGGACATACATGGTCGAGTGATGTTCATGTAATCCGATTACAACAATCGGATACGATGATTTTACGAGGACAGAGCCCCGATTACGGTAACTTTTATAACGTCTACAATCCAGACGCGTTTCTGATTCTGCGATACGATTGGTCAAAACAGCTGACGTACGCTGTTGAACGACCAATCGTATCGCAGAATCGAGAAGCGTGTCTGGATTGTTGACGTTAAAAATTACCGTAATCGGGGCTCTGTAGTACGAACACGGTAGAGAGAAGAAATTAAATACGGATTGAGAATTGTAATTAACAGCAACGAGTAACAAATATGTAATTAATTAGAATAAAGTAGCAGAAGAAGAATTATAAAACAAGTTAGATCAGTGATNACGCTTAAACAACTGGATGGACTTGATTGATGGCGTGTGCGTGCAAGCTTTTTTCTATATTTTAGAGGTTAAACTGAGTTTTTGAGGATTTAAATAAAAAACCACTTTAATATAATACTTTAATCAGTAGGTATCACTGACCCTTAAACAAAATTAATTTGTTATAAAAATTCCTGACGATGTCAGACTTTTCTGAAAGCTTTTTAGCTGCATAATGTATTCGAACTTTCAGATACTTTAAACTTATGGCTTTAACTAAGAGCGAATAGTGACAGTCAAGAAATGTTTGTTGTTTAAAATGTGAAGTCTTGGAGAAAAAAGGATATCCCAAACAGTATTTAAGACTTTCTTGCATTAGCTCTATTAAATGATTTTTTTTATAAAATCCTTTATTCCTACGAAATATAATTTCACAAATTTCGCATATTTTTATGACATCTACTGTAGGATAACACAGTCCGCCTTTGTCTTTTTTCAATTGTAGGCTAACATATTTAGTATTACATACTATAGCTGACACACATTCCTCACAGTTAAGTTCTTTTTTCAGTTTGCTTACAACAAAACCAGCTATGTATATAATTATATGTTTAGAAAATTCAGTCAAAATACTTGGGTCTGTTAAATAGTCGTGATCTTTCATTAATATATTTTCAACCATTTCTGTATTTACAGGTTCATTATCAATTAATCTATTTTTCTCAGATGTTTTATTTATTGCTAATTCAGGTTTCGTTAGCGTTAAAATGTTTATATGTTCGAGAGGAATACAGTTTCCTGACGTTATATGTTTAATTTCTCCATGTACTAACATCCTCTTAAAGGCAGATTTAAACTGTTGTGCAGATGGATTGTTGTTAAATCCTCCTTTAGCCCTGATGGCACTAAAAAAATACTCTAGATGGTCCTGACTCATTTTGTATGTGCTCAGAAATTGGAGATTATTATTTACCACCTGAATTTCGTAAAGTTTAACAACGCTTTTAATACAAATAACAAATCCCATAAATCCAGTTTTTCTTTGGGATTGCATAATATNACCGCCAAAGTATCTAATTCCCATGGGAAAACTCATTAGGTAAGCTGCGGGTGAAACTGAGGCGCAAAATCTAGTAAGTAAGTATTACTATAAAGGTGAAGTGAAAGTTTGTGTGTATGTATGTATGTTTACCTTTTTACGCTTAAACAACTGGATGGACTTGATTGATGGCGTGTGCGTGCAAGCTTTTTTCTATATTTTAGAGGTTAAACTGAGTTTTTGAGGATTTAAATAAANAACCATCTCGTCTAAAAATTGTTTGATTTCGGGAAAATTTTTCTGAGATAATGGTTTTTTGTAAGTATATGCTTTAAGATTTCTAGAATTCAACACATCAAATAAATTATTCATTTTTCGAATAAACTCAACAGTCCCTGCAGAATTCTTAAAAGTGGTGATATTCAACTCTGTATCGCAAAACTCAATCGCATTTGCGACGGATTCACTCATGACTTGAGCTGCCAGCTTCACCTTCATTACTTGTTTAACGAAATTGATATGAGATTTATTTAATTTGTTACCCAAGTGTAATCCTTCGTTGTCCTGAAGTTCTACAAGTGATCTTACATACTCCCAGGATATAACACGGCCGTGCGGATCAATGATTGGCCCCTTTTCACCAAGCGTATTTCTCACTAACTTGAGCATGTGCGAGGGATCTGGGAATATTACGATTTTATGGTTGCCCACAGTAAAAGTAGGGTCAATTAAGTCGGTGCTGTCTAATTTGCACCCTAAAATTTTTGCCATCGACAAATTTGCGGCGCAACCATCAAAAGTTACTGAGAGTATATCAACCCCAGTCTTGACTTAATGTCTCAATGCAAACTTTTATTAAACCTGCTTTCTGTTCAGCACTTATACCGTTTATCAAAAAATATCCTAATGGTATCTTCCATGATCCGTTCATGCATGTAAGCATGAAAACTAGTGCATCTTTGGCTAGCTGGTCATTATCGCTTACAACTCCATTCCCGAAATTTACAAAACCTATGCAGTTATTTCCATCAAAATTAACCCCTTTCCTAATTGCCATCTCATCAAAGCTTAAGGCACATAAAGTTTTATGTAACGGGTTTTTATTTTTATTTATTTCATGTAATATTTTTACCGCTTTAATAGACTCAGATGAAAAACCAGGATCCCCATCAACGCACTGGTACCATCGCGACAATGTACGCTTATGGGGCAAACAGGTGTTGAACTGTTTCCGAACAAAATTGTAAGCTTTTGGACTTATATAATGGAGAGTTAAAGCGAATTTCCGCAGCTCTGGAGTATACTTTCTGGCAGTACTATCTTTACATAAGAACTTTTTCAAGAAATCTCTATTTACAACATCTATTGAAGACAATAAATCTGCACTCTCTTGATTAATCAATGAACGCGTTTTTAATTCCTGTATGACTGTACACATTTCAGCCGTTTTCTTCTGCAAACGCCAGGTTTTGGATCGCAAAGCTGCTAATTTCTTCTTTCTTTTTTCTCCAACAGCTGTTGTTTTTTCCAATTTCTTAATTATTTTTTTCTTACGAGGAGTTATCTTTGGAGTCTGAAACAAAGGAATTAAATGTATAAAACGCTACATAGTTACAATGGAAGTAAATCCAAACTATTTTATAAAACTCTTGTAAAAAAATTATTCAAGCCTCGTGTAATGAATGATATACAAAACCTACCATGTTTTTTTCTATTTCTATTTCCATAGCAACTTCAGGTGGTAAAACTGACACGTCATCTGTCATGGATGCAGCATCGGGCTGAAAGTTAAGATCGATATTAGAATAGAAATTTTCAATATTAATAAATCACAAAAGCAGTGTGTACACGTAAAACGTGCATTATAATAATAATGATGAATTAATAAAACGCACCATTGTGTTTTCTATTTCTATCTCCATAGCAATGTCTTCAGGTGGTAAAATTGTAGTCGTCACGGACGTAACAATGGGCTAAAAGTTAAAATTAATGTTAATATTTTTCTTTACTATAATTTTATTTAGCATTAGTCAGTAATTACTTAGGAATATTTTATAATATCATACATGTATAGTTATTATGCAAATGTTACGTTATATATTATATACGTTACGTTACATATTATAATGTTGTCTAAAATAAAAATATAAAGGACTGGCCGTCTCGAAATCCGAGGAACGCGGGTTCGAACCCCGCCGGCGCCGCTCGACTATTGTGGTGAGCCCACTCGTAACACAAGCATATTATTATTTAGCTTACCTCGAGGGGCTAACGGGACTATACTAATAATCTTTTAAGAACTATTTGTAAGAACTATTTATTAGTCTAAACAAATAAAGAAATTTTGACTTTAGACTAAAAAAAAAATTGCGTCATCACTACAGTTTAAAACAAAGTCGCTTCCCGCTGTCTGTCCATCTGTCTGTCCCTAGCTACCTATATAATATGCTCCCGGCCCTCACTTCCCTCTCTCTCCCGGCCCTTACTTGCCTCTCCGTCCCGGCCCTCACTTCCCTACATACATACACTTACATACACACAAAAATACAAAAATTAAAAACTTTCCTCTTAATAATATTAGTATAGATTATTAGTATAAACATAGATTATTAGTATAGAATAGACAAACATACCAAAGACTCAAATGCTTGTATCTCTATTTCCAAAGGTTTTTTGGATGAACCTGGTTGATCATGTTGAGGTACAGTCTATGGAAAACACAGGTAAAATGAACATCAAGTTGAAAATTATAATTATACAAATAAATACAAAATTAGTTTTTATTATTATACTAGCTGACCCGGCGAACTTCGTACCGCCTTAGCGTAGAGATTTTCTTTATATTTTTTTCCGTAAAAACCTTGTACAGAGTATTAGAAAACTACAAAAAAAAAATCAGCCAAATCGGTCAACCCGTTTTCATGTTATGTCGTGACAACGGAAAACGGGTTTCATTTTTATATATAGAAGACTAGCTGACCCGGCGAACTTCGTACCGCCTTAGCGTAGAGATTTTCTTAATATTTTTTTCCGTAAGAACCATCCTTGGACTTCCACAAACATTTAAAAAAAAGAATTATCGAAATCGGTTCAGCCGTTCACACGTGATGCCGTGACAACGCGAAACGGGTTTCATTTTTATATATATAGAAGATAGAAGAAGATATGTTACGGTTAATGTGATAAATTGAAAATTATTAATAATAACCGGTTATTATGAATAATTACCGACAGTCGCGGTAAAAGTGATAAATTAATCACATTTAACAGTGATTATTTAATAATTCAACCGTAGTACTAACAAATTTCATAAAAGAGAACAACATCTTGTGTACGTGCTCGTGTACAGCCAAACTTTTTAACGTTTTGATATCATTATATTAATATAATTTGGCACTAAGCCGCCTATTTAGTTTTATACACACATAAATGACCTCGTATTAATCACATTTACCAAATCATGCGGTAATTATTAATAATAACCGGCGAT